CCTTTTTACTCACCTTCAGCATCCTCCTCCCCAACTTCTTCCTCTATCACAGTCACACCCCACCTCCAGTTTCAGCCCCCCCCCCCCACATTTGGCTCCACAAACCTCTGCTCCTGAGTCAGATGTTAGAGAGATCAGATCAACCCAAGGGCAAATGTACCAGCCTACTTTTGTCAGATAGACGTCTATAAACGTACTTGCATCTTATGTCAACGAGATTCTGTAACTTGGTAACAAAAATCACCCACATTTTCAAGTGTTCACAGCTCTATTTTAACTGGGTCTCATTCTCTTAATGGCATAATCTCTTGAATATCATGGAGTTATAACATCTTTGCATCAATCTATCGTCACCTCATTTTCAGTATTCTGCAGAGGAGACAGTGTAAACAGCTGTATGATGGGAACGGTTTTACTGACGGGTGAATTACAACCGTGAGAGACTTACCTTTGTGCGGCAGCTGCCTGGCTGGACTCCGATGGGGGAATACTGGGAATTTATGATGGGGGGGGTAGTGGTTGGGGGGGGGGGGCGCATATAGCCTGGCAGGCCACAGAGGTTGTATATAATTGTGGATTATCTTTAGAATTCCTATTCTCTGCTTTGATGGAGACAATCCACAGCATGGCATAAATAACATCAGCCTGCCAGGCCATCCGAGAAGTTTGACCTCTGGAAAGCTGCAGAGTGGAAACAGGCAAAAAGGAAATGTAGAGGAACATGTAGTGTGTATGCCTGTGCGTATGTTTTTGTTCATGTGGCCTGGTGTTATCATTTTTTTTATAGGAGAAACACATATGTTTTAGTTGCCTGAAATGTTCAACACTATTCAAGCAGCATATACCTGTCAGTTTGGGGAATGAGCAGCTCCAGAGTTTTTCCAGGGAAGCATCAGCAGTCCTGACAAGGTGATATTAAAGAAAGTAGTTTGTTCCGGACGTGGCTTATCTCTTTTCTCTGAAGCCTGGGAGTAATAATGGAGGTAAAGTTTTTCTTAGTTACTAATGATAACCAAGCTGTGTGTTTGTCTCCATGCACTTTAGTCACTGTGGTTGACAACCTGGGCATTATGTCAATGCCCCATCACAACTGCATTGCATAAGCAGGTGGAAGATAGACAGATAAGTAGATGTATGGATATTGGTCCCTTAGTTAAGACAATATTCAGTGGAATATATTCATTGATACTGGGACCAGATGGTTTGTTGGGTTTATATGCACTCTGGTCACTCAAAAAAATAATTATTTTCATAGGTTGGGCTTAAAAACATTGCTGCCTTGAAAACTAGTGCAGACAATATAAAACAAATGATGAAATTTCCTGCAGATAAAACTTCTATATAATGTGTCATAATCACAATTTCCCTTTTATTTTGCGGTGGCTCATAGCTATGGCTCCTGTTTCTGTGGTGCGCTGCAGTATTTAAGGATCCTTGTTTACATCAGATTGATGACTCAGGCTCGCCACCACCCGGAACAGAGGTCTGCTCGTCTTTGTTTTTACCCCAAATGCGTCCATGTGATGCAATCATTCTGGCGTGCCAGCTTGGCCGGTTTGCGCGCGCCCCCGACAACGGGCTGTCTCTCCCCCCCACTCATGAGACTTCCTGGAGTCTCTCTAATGCTCCCCTGGCGCCTTTGAGATTTGATTATGATCCTGCCCATCTGATTTTCTGTGCATCTTTTAACTCTTTGCAAAGTGCACCACAGGTAGAGGCAACGGGCCAAGAGGTCGTACCTGTGCCGTCCGCATAATCTTCAACCAGGCGGAAGGGCTTTATCTCATTCCGGACGCCAGTCAGTTACAAGGCTTTGTGATATTTTGTATCAATAGTGTATCAGCACTGCATCAGCGCTGCACTGGAGATGCTACATCATAGGGTGTTCAGCACAGTCTGGGGGCTGTTGTAGGCTTATATAATTTTTTTTATCATTGTTACATTGTCCTTCTTCATTTTGCCATTGGCAAAGTTCTTCAGCCATTTGCTGCTGCTGTTGTGATTTTGGTGTCTGGGGAGAAATCACTCATCATACTGTACAATCAAATAACCTTCAGGATCTAGGCAGGAAATTGGACATAACAGGCAGGATTTTTAAATCAGTGAAACCTGTGCTTGAATTGGGTGTTTGCCCATCTCTTGCTCTTCCCGAGCGGGGCAGTGTATGAACAGGGCACGGCACCCCACAGTGTCTTCCTCCACAGTTTATACAAAGTCCCCAGTGAAAACAGTATTCTTTGTAATCTTATCTGGGCTGATGCTGATCAGCCGTGGTCGTGGAGCTCCGACCCTCATGGGGGCATATTATGGCTGTGGCAGGAGACTGATCCCCTGTGATCTCCTGATTGCACGGCAGACCAGTGGGGGGAGGGCGGCATGTTAGATGAATAGGACCGCTGGGGGGGTGGGTGGGGGCAAAGACAAAGTTGAGGAACAGTGGCCCGGCCACTGAGCCTGTATCTGCTGACATCTTCATAGTGCAGCGATATTGGAGGGTAAACAGAAAGATAGCCTCTGACTCTATTGGAGGCACGTCTATGTTTCTGGGATTATCTTTGCACTCAGCTAGAGGGTGGCAAACAAACAATAATGCGCAGGGAGTCGTGCATTTTGTACGGCATTGTCCATCATGCATCTACAAAGTAGACAAAAGCCTTGAAGCGTCACTTGGAAAACTCATATCAAGGCCTACTTGTTCACAAGAATCTCACTGGTTAGCTGGTGAACCCAGCATGCAGAACCATGGGCTTTTTCCACTGGGTATGAGGTCTTGGTCCTCTCTGATCTTCACTGAGGGGAAGCTTTCCTTCAGACTGCATGCCCACCGGTAAAGTGATACAGATCTGTGGGCAGGGGGGGGGGGCTCGATTAACTCTAGCCGGCCAATTAGAGAACACCATGGATTTATTTAGCATAATGGGATTAGCCTGACCATAGGGAAGCTCCTTAGAACAGGAGTGGGGCCCGTAAACAGTGGTAGAGAAGTAATTGCACTGCGTTTCCGCAGCAATGCCTTCAAAAGAAGCCAGCCCCCTTTTATCCCCACCAACCCCATTCTGTGGCCTACACAGGGACAATATCCCGAATCTAGGGAATTTTTACATAGGGCTGCTGTTGTTTTTTTGAGCTTCCTTTTTGTGGTCTTCCCTGTCTAGACCAAAGTTTGCTTCATTCGAGGGGAGCCGCCACCAAATTGCTGCCTTGCTGTTCATCACTCCCTTTAATATGTGGACTAGTAGTGGGGAGTAGGGGGGCAGCCTGTGGAGAGTGAAGAGCCTGAGCTTCGCATTCGCTCTGGACGACTTGCCTTGTGGTTTCGGGTGAGCGTGCGTGTCACTGTCTGGACCGCAGGCAAAAACTCTCCCTGTGCCTTGGGGGTAGCACTGGTGAAAGGTGGCCATTCGCACCTGCGGGGGGTAGGAGTCGGTCTGGGGGGCTGCTGCATGACATGGCCAGAACCCGCCTACCAAGCATTCAGCAGAATAATCAGCAGCAGACTTGGTCGATGGCAGAAGTCCAGAGTCACCACACTCTAAGGCCAAAGGCTGTTTATTTTTAGTATTCACACAACAGTGGTGAGGAACTTTTGCAGGGTCAGGATAGGACAGGCAGTCCCATTGTATTGTAAATGTGACCTTATACTTGAGATGGAATCAGTGTCATTTTTAGCAATACGATGTCGTATGACGTGTTATCATCACGGCAATCACCATTTTGGTACATGGCCCATGCAATGTCCCCGAGACTGTTTTGTTTGTTCCGATCCCGCCCACTGTCCATGACCGGCTGACTTAAATGTGATGCCAACAGGTTCATCAGTAGGACTAATTATACAGTTACTGATGTGCTTTGCACCGCACTTTAAATGTTGTAAATTAATATGTGTTTTCGTTTATTTATGTTGTAAATAGTAAATGTTGTAACCGAGTAATGTTTGCCGTGGAATTCGTGTGTTTCATTAGCGTTTAATTGTGAGTGTCATGTAAATTATTGGCTTCCATGCCTTTGTCGTTTCCGGTGTTAAAGCAATAGTGGCTGTTAATAAGGAGACAAATTTCCATTTTAAAAGAGCTGTCATCTCCTTTATTAAAATAACTTACCAGAGTATGTTTATTTGCAATCTCTATTTGCTGTTCGATTTCAATTTGTCTGGACATGGTTTAAAGTATACAGCCACCTTAAGAGGCCGACACATAACCTTTGTCTCCTCCTAAGTGAAGGGCATGCTGACTCAGGGATTGGGCTAGTATGCCCTAGGTAGGTTTGAATCCAGCCACATCTCAGTGTACTGAGTACTTCTTCTGTTCCTGTGGGTTTCGTCTGGGTACTTTGATTTCTTTCCATGTAATAAGCATGTGGTTTGCCTAACTGGTGACTCTACATTTGCCTTAGTTTGTGATTGTGTGTGTGTGTGCCTGTGTATTTGTCTGTGTTGGTCATGTATATATTACATTGTGAGGGCACTATGTATGTAGGACTGTGGGAGGTCACTGAATGGAGGACACAGGAGAAGCCCTTAAAGTCCTTACTCTTTGGAATTAGGAGGTGACTGGGTGGGTCTTTTTGTTCACCACAGGCCTTCATCATGCATCCCATTCTGTCCTTCCCCTTGTGCAGTTTAAATATCTATAGCAGAGGTGGTGAGTGTCAAGAGGTCACTTTAGTAAAACATTTCACACTTAAAAAGCCTATTAAAACCCATGAACCACTCTCTGGTCAACAACTTTTAAGCTCCTGGCTTAAAAGCTCCCAAGGTTGTTTTCTTTGTAAAAGTAGCTCTCACTGTAAAAAAGGTTGCCGACCCCTGCCAGAAACAGTGTCCACTTTTAACAGAAATTGGGTCCATCTCAGATGTAATTACTATTGAAGTTAAATTGTGTAATCGTACTTTATTTTGCTTCAGGTTCAGTCAAGATCAGACTTTGATTTGAATGTGATGATGCACATTTTTGCTGTGCGCCCCTGGGAATCTGTAATGTGTCCCTGTTCTACTCCCCCAGCCTGCGAAAAGGACATTCAGAGGGTGTGCACGAACTCCAAAGCAGAACACCTCCAGCCATTCAAAGACAAGATGGAGTCTTTTGTCTTGAAAGGTGAGTAAAACAAACAGGAGGAAATACCCCCCATCCTCAAACTACCCTCCCCCTGAATTACAGCTGTTGGTGTTGATGTTTGTTTGATCCAATGCACAAGCAAGCACCGTGAACTGGTGGGACGACATGTCGCCTGATCCCAGGACACGATGCCTGTTTGATCCTCCGCAAGTCGATGCACAAAGCCAGGGGCCAGCGGCTGGGCTGATTGTGTGTTTAGATATGTTTAGACTCACGGGCCCCAGCGGGTTGCTCTCTGATTGCAATGGCTGCTCTCAGAAATTAGTGTTCACAAATGTGTAATATTACTCACAAGGGCCAGCGCAACTGTGGCCCCTCGTTAGAGAGATTCTCTGGAACCAATTCATGGCAAACCCCCACTGCTGTATATTTACAGAGACCAATATTCTTCAAGCAGGAAAGTAATGAAAGTAATAATGATTTTTCTTTTTTTGTCATTGTCTTGTAAACTGCACTCTGTTTCCACACATTAACTAAGTCTTTCATCTGCATTGTTTTCAGTCAACACAGATGAAACGTTTTTCAAGCGCCTCGCAAATGATAAAGGGAAAAGGCGCTTAGCATGCACTTGGCATGCAGAAGGAGCGTGAAACCGGAATTCTGATCATTAGCTATTTACGCCCTCCTGTTTTGCATTTGATTTGGTGCTGCACTGCCATTCTGTCATGTGGGGGAAGAAAGCGGGTGTCCAGGGGGGCAAGACTCAGATTAGATTTCACTTAATGTGCCGCTTGACTTGTCATCCAGCAAGGCTGGCAGGGCGCCCCCTAGCTGAGGAGTGGTGGAAATGAGCCAGATCCAGGGCTGGCCTGCCTTATAGACAAGTCTAAAAAAATCAGTAGAAACACAACTTGGTTCCATTCAGTGACATTACAGTTATATAGACTAGTTTTAATATTTTACTATTTTACTTCTCTTGTGAAAGCAGGCATATATACCTACTGTAATGTGTGAATTTCACCTAGAGCACCAGAACACTCAGAGCCAGTTCGGTCCACATCTCAGGTTGGGGACCACCACAGCTGGACGTGTCATTCCACACTGACCCCCCCCATCCTGCGCCTTCTGCGATTACTCTGCCATCCTCTGATAAAACGCGCCGATTCCTGTTGCCATGGATAATATCTCAGCCTGTCCCCTTGTTGAGCTTGATAATCGTCTTTGGTCTTTTATGCTGCAAAGAGATGGATCCCAGTTAGACTCAGGTGGCAGACAGTGTGAGATGAGTATCAGGGAGACGTTGGCACCAACTGCAGTCATGTGCCGAGACAGAGGGGTAGTCCTGAGAGGGAGAAGTAACCTGCGCTGTATGTCATGGCTCAGTTTATGTTTTCTGGAGCTCTGATGGACAGAGGTGGACATTTCAGGTCCAGAAAGTAAAAATCCAAACCAGGATTTCATGTCAACCAACCAGTTGACCATAAAGAGTCACAGTCACAGAGTACTCAACTGGTTGGTTGACATGAAATCCTGGTTTGGATTTTTACTTTCTGGACCTGAAATGTCCACCTCTGCTGATGGAAAGCTCCTTTTAGTTTGATATGAAGAGAAACTGCTTCCTGCACATTGCCTCAGTATGAAAGAGGCAGTCGTGTTCAGTGATGGCAGTAGATCAGCATCCCTGAGGACCAGAATGTTCCGTGATTGTCGTCTCAGATTTGGGCATATTGTAGCAGACGGCTGCTTGCATTCCCTAATGCTGATAAGCAGCACGCAGTGCATTATGGGAAGGATGGGTGGACATGGAATTTGCCTGGAAATGGTTGTGAAAAACATATTGCTATAAATTAATTATCAGTATCTCCAGATTCCATGGGTGTGGAACAGGAGGTTTTTTAAGGTTATATGAATGGTAGTTCTCAAAATTTTCAAACCAAAAAAAATATGGGCTAGATGAGATAACCAGCCCAAGAGATGTAGTATAGTATTTATTTCTGCTTGGGTTCACTACAACATGTCAGAACAGGCTTGGGGGTCAGCAGCCATGCCATTCTTTTAGTCACCATGTCACTCACTACTTGTTATATGGGTGGCAAAATCCGTCCATCCATCATCCAACGTTGTCCTTGCTGGAGCAATAGGGCCCAAGGCTGCTGTACACCCTAGACAACAATAAATAATTTTCCCACTGATTATTAATATTTTTTGTGCACCTTCCTTCAAGGCGAAAAGCACTACTGTCAAAAACACACTGCCTTTGACATCAAAAATCATTTAAAGAATAATCAGTCATCTTTTTGTTGTCAAATATCAGTCCTTTTTTTCTTTTCTTTTTCTAGTCAGTTTGCCCTCTGAGATTTTGCCCTTGTAATGCTTTGTGGGGGCATGCAAAGTTCCTACTTCTTTATTTTGTTTTCTAGTTTGCTTGTTGGTTTCTCCTTTGTGAACTGCATGCCAAATCTGCCCAGAAGTACTCCATGGTGTTTATCTCACGAACACTCCCCCAAGTCCCTTTAGCACCGTAATACACAGTGTTTAAATCAAGTCTCAGGATCATCACAATTTGTCCTATCATGAGCAGCTCATGTAATGGAGGTGAGTCATTTAACTTTTCCGCTTCAATAACAAACATGGGGGTTTATGGAAATTGTGGGAATCTCCTTTTGTGGCCGTCAGCCCATTTAGTTGTGGTAGGCTGTGTACGCCGGGTTGTAGTAATGCTACTGCTGCAGGTTGATTTTTTTATGCCGGAAATATAGTCAAAGCAAATGGGTCTATGGCTTCAGTTATGAATATGTGTGGATTGACGCTAGAAATGAAGCCAGCCTTGCTGGAGGGGGGGATGCTCAGGGTCATAGTCTCTTGATCTCAAGAGAGTTTTATGTGTATGTTTCATGTTTTTTCTCAGCAGTCACCTAGACCATGAGCATCATTTTTTTTCCCGCTGCTATGAAGGAAACACTGAAAAACTATGTCCCTAGTAATCAAGTTACAGTCTGAGAAATTGGTCATATGTATAAAATAAATGCCTCCCCCTGATTTTTCGCTGTATGTATCTGTATCTGTGATGCTCTGTTGCAGGGAGGCAGACAGAGGTACCGTAAAATCCCATTATAGTGGACTCGCTTATAACGGAATATTATCTATAATGGACGAGGTCCGCTGGTCCCGGCCGTGCGGCTTTAAGAACATGCAGAAAAAGCATCGGATTTAGCAGACTCGCATATAACGTAATTTTGCTTATAAAGGACAAACTATTTGGTCCCCAGGGCCGCTTTTAGCTGTAGTTTTGTTCGGCTATAATGGACAGGCAGCTCCGCCTGCAAGGCGCGTGGCGTGCCGGTGATATCCAGCGCAGATACATATTCTGGATTATTAATCGTCATGGGTCTAGTCAGGTGAAGTTGGATTACTACATGTACAATATGATAATCTATACTACAAGTGTGTGTGCTGGGGTGTGGCATGAGTAAATGGTGTCCTGTAGTTTTGTTCTGGGCATACAGCAACTCTGGATATAAAGGATTGTTTTGCTAGGTCCCTTGAAGTCCGTTATAACTGGATTTTACTGTAGTCATGCCACAGTCTTTTTTTGGTAAATCCCCGAATGGTTGTTGTGCTTCTTCAGGCAAAAAAACCTAAAACAGAGGGGTTTGGTGAAGACATCCTGCAGACTGCCTCAGCTGTGGCAGAGAAAACATGTGGCATGTAATCTGGTGCCGCTCAGCGAGGATGGCCCTTGCCGGAGGCGGGAGATTGGCCCGCTGCATGTTGTGAAGAGCAGGCCAATGGCACACATAGAGTCCTGGGAGCAGTGTCTCCGGGAATCTCGTAGGTATGCGAGCAGAGCTGCACATTTTGGGCTGTGGTGCCACTGCTTTCATCTTGGAGAGTGTGTGTCTCACACAAAACCGTTAACATCACGCAAGCAGATCCGCATCTTCGGACGCAGGAGAGGAAATTACACACATTACTTGTGGTGGGCCTGAAAATACGGTAAAACAATAGCCTCCTTCTATAAAACATGCAAATGAGGTGGGAAGATTGCATCCATATGTTTTAGGTACAGATTGAAAAATGAGGGTGGAGGGGGAGAGAAAAAAAACAATGCAAGCTTTCCCGACGTATGTGGCAGCTGGAGGGAGCTGAAAGAGAGTGTGCACTGCTGCTGTGTTTGTCTCAGGGCCGCCCAGCTCCACTGGAGCTCTGCCACTTCATTGTTCCAGTTTGTTTATTCACCTTTAATGGCTCACGTCTGAGTTCACGCGCAATATCACAGTCTGTGCACGGTCGTGAAACCGCCCCAGACACATCTTGGACATAAACCTTCTGCCCAGGATGCTCAGGAACCAATTCTAAACAAAGTGCCTGCCACAGTTTCTCTTTGCTTTATGGTGACGCTGCTCTTTATAATCCTGGATTTTTTTGGGGGTCGGGGGGTGGGGGTGCAAAAACCACAATTTCCAACATTTTGTAATTGTTCTTTTGAACAATTTCCAAAGACCTCAAGGACTCAATCCACAAATAATGGACTCTGAGGCTTCCTTTAAGTTGTGATGACGTGAGGTCAGTACTGCTGCATGCTGGGACAGCAATCTGCAATCACAGTACAGCCGATGAAACATCCACTGGAGGATGAGTTGTGTACTAATATTGTACAATTACTGCTAGAAAGTTCTACTGTCAGCCTCACAAACACCTAAATGTCTCTTGACATGCAGTGAGTAAGTGAGATGTGGGTCCAGTCAGCCAAGCCTGTCAAATAGCTTAATATTTATTGGTGACCCAGAGTGTACTAAGGACCTTGGGGCTAGGGGTTCCTGACTCTTTCCCTTGTGCGGCCCTGTGCAGGATACAAACACGGCTCTTTACCTAGCCTCCCTCATAAATTATTGCATGGTACTGTGTATCTGTGTGTAAGGTAGACCCGTCTCTCTCCAAACTGCGGCTTTCTGGGTCTGCGCACTTCGGCCGTGCATGCGGAGCGGTGACCCATAACTCATGCATGAGCAGTTTTACAATCCTGCCAACACTGACAGGTCCCAGTGGCCAGCCAAGTGGATCTCCTGCACAGCAGGGCACGCAGGTGAACTCAGACGACCTGGGCACCGGTTCTTAAAGCAGCCTGTGATCTGATAAGGTTTTACATCTCAACAAAGTCATTGATCCATTATCCTGTGATGCATTGCCCTGCTTTAACCACACCCCTTCTTCTTTAAAAGGGTCCTCCTTTTTTGCCCTCTCTTCCCACACTCATTCTTGCTCTTTTCTGTTAGATCTCTCTATCACTGGCTGGCTCACTCGCTTAAACACCGAAAGTAATGCAGAAGGCCTTGATTGGTTCAGAGATTCATTGCTTTGTACGATGTCAGATTTCTTGGACCAGAGATGATGAACAGCACTACAGTAAATTCACAAAAGATAAGAATTCAAATAGCAGTCATGCTCCTGTAATATTTTTTATTCCATTTTGATTCTGGATTCCCTGTTTTTCAACATGAGAGTTGTGGCTTTATTTATGCTGCTCTGGCAAGGTTAAACAAGCATCCCGTAACACGCAGCCGCTTTCACCACGTGGGCCGCCACGAGAGAAGTCAACAGATCTTTGTCCCTTGTTTTTCTTCTCCTCCCCCCCCAGTCCTTTTTTTCTTACGTTTGATGTTTCAGACAAACATTTGGGTTTCACGGCAAAGTGATGTGGCGACGGGGGTTTCTAAAACACCCAGCAGACAGGGATTAAAAAAAAGGAAACTAATTTGAAACAAACTTCCGCTTCGGATCCACGGCATCGATGCCTCTTGTTTTCCTTTGGCCCTACAAGTATATTCATGCCGTCCTGCCTGGGCAGCACGCAGGGCTGAACCCTCAATGGTGGCACTGTCACTTCTCCACTTGTAACCACACCACTGTGTAGCCTGTCTGAGTTCCAGAGTCGACGGGCATCCCCGTATGAGTGACTGCTTTCCCACAAACCAGCACCGACTCCTTCGTGGCTGCACCAGTCGACACTGTGTTCTGGGAGCAAGGAGGGACATGTGCTTTCACTTAACGCGCCCTGTAATTTATAATTTCTCCCCACGGTGACTAATATGGGGAGGGCGGGCGAGCCGGTGGAAGTCACGTTCCGCGGCATTCCGTGACGTGCATTCTTCCATTCCTGTGGCGGGAACGGCCGGCGACAGTTGCTGCTTCAAAGACGGCGCCTGGACGGCTCTGCTGATTCTAACACGTTGCGCCTAATCGTCTCCCCAACAAGGCCTCCAACATTGCCTTCCCATGTCTGTCTGTCTGTGGACTGGGTTTTCCTCATAAGTACTGTAGGCTGTTTAATCTCCTCATTTATTTGTGGGTCAAGTGCCTCCCCTGTGTTATCGTTCCTGTGATTTCCCACCATCTCTGTTTTTTTCTGTGTCACATCCCCCGGAATGTGCTGATGTTTAGTCATGATAATGTATTACACATAAAACACAACAAGGTTAGAGTGTTTGTATTTCCCTGTGACAAAGGGCTATAATGTTTAAACTTATAAAGATTAACAGGCAGAGGATGGGCTCACGAAGTAGAAATGTGATAGCTGGTCTCCGAAAAACTGCCTTTTAACATCTTACACATGGTCGCTCTTATTTATGGTTTGAGAAACGCGTTCTGAAATCCTTCTGGCGTGAGAGGTATCTGTGAGCAAATTATAAGGTGGAGCGTGGGAAGAGTTGTGGATTGACTAGCAGTCAACACGTGGTGCCTGTCAATGAAATGGCTTTTAAACAGAAGACTGTGTTAAGCCTTAACAGAAATAGCATGCTCTGAGTAGCACTAAATAGGCATGTTACTAGTTCATAATGTACCAGTAGCTGGGCCATGCACCAGTTTGTAATTAACATCAAATTTCTGTCTTTTACTATCTGACTTGTAGGTGAAAAAAGTGGTTTGGTAAAGCGTGTCAATGTTTTAAAGCCCTAATTTATTGTCTGTCTCAGCATGCGCGTCTCATAACTTTCTAGTTAGCCACTGCTGGTTTCATGTTTACAGAGGAGGAGAAGCCCATACCTCCTGTGCTGGTGCCGGGCCCTTGAGCGGCAGTGCCACCTTTGCACGGGGGTGGCTGGGGGGAGTGGGGGGGAATACCTCAGGAATACCTCAGGCGCCACTAAACCTCAGCCGTGGTAAACGCCATTGGTCACGGCCTTCCCCTCCAGCTTTTTGCCCCCCATCCCATTCATTAGGGTTACCTTTGACAAATCAGCCTACTTATCCAAACACATGCAAAAAAAGGAGGAGTGTTTTTTGGGGGGTAAGCTAGGTTAAGCTTACCCTCTCCCCATAGACCCCCAAACCTGCCTTTGAACAATTTTTTGGAGACTTCCCCCTCCTAAATCTTCAATTGGTAAAGGTCCCCCCATCATTGTAAAAAGGATGAATCTGGAAAAATGCAATAAATCTGAGATCACAGGCACTCTCTGGCCCTAGATAAATTCTTGCACCTCGGCCTGGCCTGTTGCTCACATCTGCCTTGCATTTAGGCCTTTTAACATGGCAAGGCTCCACAGGAGCCTGGAGGTCCCGGACCTGCTCCTTTCCCCGCAGTGCCTGCCTGGCCCCCAGCGACTACACACTTCTGCTCCTCAGCCATCGATGTGCCATGATCTGCATACCCAGCCTGATTCCTGTCACCCTTGTGTCCTCCCATCCCCATGACCGGTCATACTCCCTGAGGCTATAGGAGTATATGACTGGGCCCAGGGTGCATGCATACATATACCATGCATGCGTGTTAGTAAACATAAAGCTTGCCAACCACAGCCGCCTGATTAGTTGAACATTCAGGGGGTGTCTGCTTCACACGGAGAGTCCTAGGCCTAACAAGTCCCAGAACAACTCATAGCATTCTGTCACCTTTTGATGCCATCTTTTGGAACTGGTAGTACGACCCTCCTGTTGACCACCCACGCTGGAGGGGACAGGAATCGCACTGCTTGTAGACCACACACCATTCGACCACCTATGTAAAATCTCTCAAAATCACAGTTTATAATAATGATTTTTTTTATGTTGGCAGCGCAAGAAGAATATGGCGCAGAAGACAAGCGTGTCCAACTTGCCGAGAAAAGGTACTTCGCCACCTCTCTCTGTTTTTGTTTTACAAGGTGCGGCAGAAGAGAATTCATGACTGGGACTTGGGCAAATGAACAGCATGGGATGCCATTAACAGAGACATGCCCTCTATCTGCCCCCTTCTATAAGCTGCAGATTTGCCGAGGTCTCTGTCCCATGCCTCCTTCACGCCTTGAGGGCTTCCTGAATGGTACTTTGTGGCATGGGAAGAGGAGTGTGGCTGAGTGTAATTGATAGTTCACATCACGTAGGGCCATCGTGGGCTATTTCACACTTTGCCCAGATAAGAACCACCTAGAAGCAGGCATCAGATAAGCAGAATGTCAGCAATTTGTATAGCTGCCTATAGCAATTAGACCTCACTGATAAGGATCCAAGGGATAAGCAGGGGGCCAAGGCGAGGGCTTCCCCGGCACAGCGTCGATGTCCAGACCTCTAATGCGAGGCCCTTCATCATCTACTAAAAACCTGCACCGCAGCTCAGCACCATGCTGATTAATCCAGAGCAGGAAGCTGGAAAGGTGCCTAGGAATGTGGACAGAGATGGCTCACACACATGGACCTGCCCAGCTCGAGCACTGCCACAGAGCCTGTCTCCATCCTTATCTTCCCGTGTTTGGTACCGCGAAGTCCAGGAACAGCTACAGGGAAAAACGAGCCTCGACAAATTTATGGGGGATGCTCGAACTGGCAGCTGTTTAACCACTGTCAGGCTGCAGCTCTATCTGGAAAATTTCATATCGGAAAAATAAGCCAGAGAGGACAAACAAAGCAAATTGATTATTGTTCCTTGTTTAGACAGAACCTGGAGTTGCTTTCTTTAAATCATAACCATCTCAATTTGAAAATAAATCACAGACAGCACATAAAAGGACAAACCAAAAAAAAAGCGCTAGGCATTAGAAACGGAGAAAGTATAAACAATTAGCAGTGTGCCTCGTTTTTTGGAAGTTTTTAGCAAACACTTCCAAATGTTCCCGCACGTCACACTCATGCACAAACTCCTGACTGCGTTTCCGAGGCTTTTTGATGCTCCCATCATCTTCGGATTTCCTTAGTGGCGTTCCACTCGCGGCTTCGACACGTAGCCCCGACACCATGCTAATGAAGGTGCTGGCTTGGCGTATTGATCAAAAGGACACGGCAGCTTTGTTTCAGGGCTTTTTAATGACATTCGGCTTTTATTCTGTCTCAGGCGGCACCGTTTAAAGGAGCTTTCTCATGCTCCTACCACACACCTCGTTAAAGTGACACTCTGGTGATGTATACAGCCCCCATGTGTTACTGGGACCCTGGCAAGTCCTTCATGTACTGCCTCAAAAGCCACCCCCAGAGTTGCACCATGATGCCCACACCTTCTAGGTATAGAACCACAGCACTGCGAGTGTACAGTGGCCACCACTGCACCAACACAGATCCAGCTGCAGTGCTGTTAGGGTTTCTCAGGCCTGTTCTTCCATGAGCTATGGAATTGATCAAATGAGTTCACCAGAATGTTTTATTCCTGTATTTGAATAAGTAATATTTGAATAAGAATATAAGTAAATGATGTTAAAAGAATATGAAGAGTAATCTAAAAGCAATATTTAGATACTTCACAGTGTTTTCATTTACATTGTTCTTGCACATGTTTTGCTGTAGTAGTCAGCTGCTGGTTAAGTACCCAATATAGTGCTGGGAGTCCACCTGAACCCAGCAATCCTTTGGTGAAAAGCACAGACGTTAGCCTCAATACTACCTGATGGACTGTGTCTTCCTCGTGCAGTGTGTTACCAGCCACCAGAGAGAGTCAAAACTGTAGCCCCTCAGTACCAGGAATACTTAAAAGCTTAATCTGGCTAGAAATTGAAGCATGTCCATTAGGTCCAGATGAAAGAGATGTGTGTTCATACAGAACTCAGCAGGGCTCTCCCAGAGAACCACATGTATGTTCATACAGAACTCAGCAGGGCTCTCCCAGAGAACCACATGTGTGTTCATACAGAACTCAGCAGGGCTCTCCCAGAGAACCACATGTGTGTTCATACAGAACTCAGCAGTGCTCTCCCAGAGAACCACAGCTGAGCTTCCAAATTCAGGGCTTCAGCTAGACTGTAGTTGCATGATTCTCCCATGGCTCAGCCCAGCACTTAAGGCAAGGGTGGCCAATCTTATCCGCAACGGGCCAGTGTGTATGCGGGTTCTCACTGCAGCTCCCTAATTATATTACTAATTAGAAGACTGATTGGCTGAGGAGTCCTCACACTTGGGTTTGAACATCAGGTTACCCCCAAAACCTGCATACACACCGGCCCTTTGTGGATAAGATTGGCCACCGCTGACTTAAGGAAACCTCCAGAAACACTGGGTTCTTCTGACTGTTTATGTCAGTTTTGCACTGTAATGGAAGAGGAACATGAAGGGCTCTGGATACAATTCTTACATTCCAGCTTAATACCACTAGTATCTCTAAAGGTATATGGAGACAAATGATCATTATACCCAATGAATAACTATATTCGCTGTGGATGATTCTCCAGTGAGGGATTTCATGACCACTGTGAATGACTACTGACATTTGTTTTGCCCTATAGCATTAGCATTGCCATGAAACCTCAATGTCTGTTCCCAGACCACAGTCCTGTGAGCTGTAGGAATGCTGTTAGGCCCAAACGTACTGTGTCTGAAGATGTTATGCTACCACATTAATATACGAGTTCTGTGGCCTGTTTTGCATGTATCAAAGAGGAGTTCCTCTCCCAAATATGCACTATAAACTTAAAATTTTCCTGTTGTGAAAATACTTTGCCATTTAATGCCTTGTTTAGTTTTGGCTCATTTATGTGGCTTGCCTTCATATTTTATGCAGGTGTACACTAGCAAGGCAGCAAAGAGAGGAAGAGGTTATTTCGAGAGAATGAGTTTGTTTTTCCTGTTGTTTGAAGAGAGTAACCATCTACAGGAGCAGTATGAAGAGACCGAGAATAACTTAGAAGTCATGGACAGTTGTGTGTATCTGTATGCAAGTGTGAGTCTGTCAATGAGTGAAGGGTTTGCCATACAAGGGGTTACCGGAGAATCCTCTGTCTGCACAGACTTTGATGTATTGGTGAGACATCATAGGTATCGTAAAAAAATCTTGCAGCAATTATGTCATGACAGTCCGACGGTAGAGATTCTAAATGCAGGTTTGGGGCAGGGGTTAAGGGCAATGCTGAACCCCACGAAGGCTTTTTGTGATTTGTGTCCATTCTGAAACATGACCCTGAGTCATAATAAATTAATTACAAAAAACATATAATTAATCACAATGGATTGTGCAGAACCTACAAAGCCTTAAGAATTAATGTCAATTTAGTAAATCAACCCCCATCCAACTGCACCCCAGTTCTTGGTTTCTGCTTGGGTTTCAAGCAGAAGAACAGATGATATACTGCACTGTCTTTGTGAGCATTTGAAGCAGTGGGGCCACGTTGAAGGACACCTCGGAACTGGAGGGGGCTCCACACTTAGGAGATTTCTGCCGAGCACATTTCCAGCCCAGCCTAGCGTGGCTTCTATTATCATTGACGGAGCCACTCACCATCTGGAGGTCAAAGGCTTGTTTGCCAGTCCGTGTGCATCCTTTGACTCAAGTCCGCCCTATATCAAGCTATGACAACCACTGCAAAAAGACTTTAATGTCTGGGGAGAGCATTGACTTCAGACACTAGGAGGCATGTTTGTAGCTACGGGGAAAAGTTCAGTTCTAGGTAAGTCAGTCTGTGGTAGCAGTACCCTGAAATGCCTGTGGAAGTTTAACCTTGAGTGCTCTGGCCAATATGTTTTTGTGGCCATAAATGTTACTTTCAGTTATGTAAGGCCTTTTTACTGCTGAAACATCAGTTAAACAAAGACAAATTTCATTCATGTCCAACTGGGTTATGTGTAAAACTTTGAATTGACAATGAAAGGCCTGGCAGATGGTGGCAGTTTCATTGTTGGGAGGGGGTTACTGGTTAACCACAAAACCCCCTGCATCATTAGAGGGTTTTCAGAGATCACGCATTCGTTGTTACACAGAAACCAGACGAAATCTCTCTAGCAGGGGACCGGGTTAAATTTAGCTGACAAAGTCAGCACCACATTTTCATTAATCTGATTCTTGTCTGTTTTCATTAACAGGCTATTTATAAAAAAAAATTTTAAGGACAATACATCCAAAATATTTTGTTTAGGAATACAGATTATTTTTAAATGCACTACACTTACACACAGTTGGTCTAAAAGCAACACAGTCAGAATTCAAACAATTGAAGCAAGCTTACGAACAGCCATGTGAAGAACATCTCCATGGTTCTCCTCATTGCCTTCTCATGGAGGATAGCCACAACACATTTATAAACATGGATGAGTTCGTTGGGGCAATTTGACTCTTCAGCACCCTAGTCTGTGCTAAGGTTCAAAAGTACCTTGTCCATTTCATGTGTGTGTGTTTGTGTGCATATTCTGGACATAGTCTGAGGTAAGGTAACATCTCTCAGGTATTAGCATGCCAGATATGTACGCTGATCTTAATGCCTCGTCTGTCAGTGTCAGATATGGTTTTATTCCCCCTACACCGGAAACTCATCCGCCAGTACCTGCCTGGCTCGCCCAAGCTCTGCATGGAGAGCCAGGCTGGAGTGAGAGTCCCCCCCCCCCCCCCACAGTACCTACTTGGATCCCTCCCCAGTATGTTTCCTCTCTTGCCAAGAGTGGTCAGTGTGATCATCGGAGTATCTGCTGTAAACGACCCATTGGCCCAACAGGAAGCCAGCTCATCATTTCCTCCGTGCAGCTTCCAGGACATGGTGGCCTACTTCGGCTTGAAACCCAAGTCTGGGGAGAAGGAGGTGGCACCCAATTACATCTTTATGCTTTGGTACGAGTTCTGCAATGACTTCAAGAACACGTGGAAGAGGGAGAGCAAGAACATCTCCAAGGAAAGGTGAGTGGAAGCCAAACCGTGTCTGTTAGATGATTCAGCTTGAAACTTGGGCTAGTTATGGTTTTCCAACAAAACATTCTTACCTTAGAGCTTTTTTCCTCCAACAGCAAGGTATGGTGAGGTATGTATTAGCATTTTGTCAAAACTTGCGATAAACTAAGCCTGGTTAAATATGAAAAAATTGTAGAAGTAGGTGTATGCATTTATACTGCCATTGAATAATTGGATGTTGTGTTGACGAGGCTGGGTGGACTTTCACACTTCTGATAAATGGTGCCTTGTTTAGGGGTCTCTGAGGCTCTGAGACATCCCGGTTAATGCAGAACAGATTGTCATTCTCATTCTCAGGTTTCTGCACCACGCAGAAGCCCACTAAATGAGGCGTTATGAATTCTGCAGACAATGAGGACAAATAAAAGCACTTGCGTTTGCCAGTTATTAAAGCACGAGGGGCATCAAAGGAAAAGCAGGCAGGTCCGGCCCTTGGCTCAGGCCTGCCTTAAAGCCTGGGGCTGGATTTACGATGCCTCTTCTGACCTGGGGGCATCCAGCCGAGGGATGTCAGACATGGACAGCACCTCTCCATGGAGCCCCTGCCTTTATTAGCAAGGGGACAGGAGCCCATTAAACAGAGGGTGCTTCAGTAGGCCTTTTAAAGATTGTCATGATCTGAAGAATCCAATGACTGGGGGGGTTCTGTACTGTTGGTTTACAGATAAGCCACTCTGTAAATCTCTCTCCACATCTCTGCCGCCTGGTGTGGTGGTGGGGGGGGGGGGAATAATTACAACCATATCAGACCTCATTCATTCTTGCAATTAATTTTATACTGCAGATTAATGTCAAACAGTATTTTCCACTTGGCCAAATGCTGGTTTGGTGATAGTGAATCTGGTGATAATTTTTAACTGGGTGTTGCTGGAGTCAAATGAAAACAAGATTTTCTCACCGATGTTCTTCTTCCTTGTCATTTTAATTTGTGTCTACAAATCACATTTACTACCTGCACTGCCAGACTAGAAGTAAAATTAAAATGGGAAAAACATAAATGTATGATTTTTTATAATCTACTTTACCTGCCGAATGTAATCTACAGGTTACCTGTTTGTAATTTTAAATGACTACCTGGTTAATTATTACAAGCAGGATACAACTGATTTATAAAAATAGTAAAAAATGTGCAAATGTCACATTTTTTTCACAAGTAATATTAAATTGAGTTGAATAAAATAAATAGGCTTTGAAAAGTGCAACATACTATACAAGAGGAAACCAGACACATTTAAAATGTTTATAGGTGATTTCAGCGACACTCATGGGGGAAATAAAGAGTAGAGGGAGCGGACCATGGCGCTGGCATTTAACTGTTTCTGCTGCATCTGTCTGGCGTATGGAAGTTGGCAAAATGTATTTTTTTCTAGTGATTGCAAGGCTACTCCTTGGGTTGTGAGACACAAATAGGTGAGCCTGCTACTCATGTGACTTTTCTCATTGAGCTTTTGTGACTGATGAACCAAAATACTGTGCCAGCTTGAAAGGACCCAGGGCATCCATTGAACCCGGGCGGCCAGTCCACACTGGGTGTGTGGTGGCTTTTGGGAAAATAGAGAAATCACTGCCTTTGTAAAAAGCTAGTGTCCATGGCACAAAGTTTTCATCAAAAGCTCTCCGGAACGCTTTGAAAGCACAGGATGACGGGGGTTAATAAATCATTTCTAACTCACTGAATACTTTACAGGCTGGAGTGTTCACATTAGACTGCGGAAATCAAAATAAAATTTCTGCAGCACTTTAGGGAATCCAGGAGTCACTATAAAAAATATTGACATAAATGTAATTAATGTCAGGACTAATCTATTTTATTGCCATTTCTACTCTGTAAGCATTTTTGTTATTTCATGTAAAATAGCAATGTCAAAGTGATAGGACTGGTACAGAATCTATGAAGAGAGTCCGTAGAAGGTGTTAAGCAGAGTCTGTGCAGAGCTAATGCTGTTAAAAAGCATCCCATGATCCTTGTGGTTTTTACTTTTAGTTATTTATTAGACAGTCTTGCCCCATTTCATCCACAGCTGAAGGTGCTTAGGTACAATTAACTTTATTCTTAATACTATTTGTAGACTCATAAAAATCTAGAGTGTATTTGTGTGGGCTTTATTTTTTGAAAATACTCTTTATTATCTCATAAATTTTCTATACATATTTTTTGCCCCATAAACTGCAAATTGTACAGCGAGGTAAGTAGACAGTGATTGTGTCATCCAAGATTGTTTATTTCAATTAAAAGTATTCCAAAGGAAACAGTGTGTGAGGTGGCAGGAAGCAGCCATGATGCGATTTGCTGTTACCCAAGTGCTTGTGTCACCAGCTAGACAGTCAACCAGATGGAAAGAGGGGAGTTTGGCTGCTGGTCTCTGCAAAGCTTCTCTGATGTAAAGACGTGAATGGCAGTTCATTCGGCTCATTGCTAGCAGGTGGCTTTCTCACTAAGAGTGTCCCCTGAATGTACACTCTGGTTGATGCAGGAATGATGAGCTCTAGGCTCAGCTCTAGTGATCCTTCCTCCCTGGGGGTTGTGTGCTCTGCTCATGGTCCCACCTCTACGCTGTGCTTCACTTAATGTAGATTGAGTAGAGTGAACACGCCACACCGGCAACTGTAGATACACTCATTTTTCAATCTATGTTGAAATACCAGGCAGCTCTATGTCTCCGCATTTTGGAAAAGCCCTTTCCCAAGCCTTCACTCAGGTCAGATAGCATGTTCATTTGCACTAAATGTTAACCTTCTCCTCGCTTTCTGTGGTTTCAGCATGTTTACATTTTTTGGCTTGACAGCATTGACATGTTGTCTGCCAGTCCTATATGAGTGGGAATGCGTCCTGTGGATGTGTCTGGCCCTGGCAGGTCTCTCACACAGGCAGGGAATATTCATTAAGCATAGAACACAACCTGGTACCCCCAGCCCTCCTTCCAGTCACAGTCTCACTTCTTGAAGTGAGTGTTTTCATTCCTGGGAGGGTTGCCAAGAACCATCTCTTTTCCATGGCCATCTCAACTGTTGGTTTTGGTCATGGTTGTCTTTCTCCCTTCCAGGATTAAAGAGGCTCAGGACACGGTGGACAGGATGACAGCAGAAAAGAGGGTAGAGACCAAGAAGCTCAACCCCAAAAGCCTGGTAAGAGTTCATCACTCCATCACCCCTGTCTCCTGTCTCTCAGCTTTAAATGGCCTGGAGCTGCCCAAGCATTTTAGCAAACAGGACTAGGGTAACTCTCTGTTTGTTCACCATAGTCACTTACCAGATGTTTCTGTTTTAAGCTGAGCTGTTGAGGGCTGCTTGAACTTAGCTCATTATTTATTTGAGTTTTTATTGATGCAATGTAGGCTGTATTCACCCAAAAGTCCTACAGCAGGGCTTCTTCTGCCTCATACTGTCCACATTCTTAACCACTTGGCTCTGGTAATAGACCAAAGTCTATAAGAACGTATTTCAGAAATGATTATCTTTGTTATTTGTATATGTTTAGTGTTTTACAATATATTATAATAATGATATTGTGTATTTATAATATAATAATATAATAAATTTGTTTTGGTAATACTGGCATTATTCTTATAGCTATAGTACTTTTATGTTATTATTATTATTATTATTATTATTATTATTATATGTAATTATTTTTCTTTTGAATTTTAATTATCGATTTCTCGATTACATTCCTCTTGTTTTAGGCTCTAACAAGAGCAGTAAAGACCCAAGCACCGTTTAAATGTTTGTCAGTGATTACATATGTGCTGTGTGGTCAGTGAGATTTGACATCTGTCGATTGTATTTGGGTTTATTCCTGTTTTATAGCCTGATGAAGGCTATAAATGCTGATTAGTTCATATTCCGTTAATGAAGGCACTAAACATGCACACTTAAGAACAGATATATTTTAGACATAGAGTTTTTTTTTCTTCAATACAAAATCCATATTTGATCCAAACCTATATCCCATAGAAAATCATTAGAAGCTAAGTGAAGTCCTGTTTCAAATTAGGTAACAATCTGTTTTTTCTTTGAAAATAGAAAACCAAGTGTTTTGCATTGTGGCTTTTTTTCGCTTCTTTGTGTTATGAATATGACACATTTTTACATCACGGAGCTGCCCTTGGTTTTCTATCAGGGTTACATATCTGTACTGTATGCAGTGAATGACAGTCATCTGACAATGAGAGAACAGGTTACAGTACCCTGCCGTAGTGAACATTGAGTTCAGTCTAAGATAAACAGAGTGTACACATCGCCGTAGCGTCTGCCCCCATGACGGCAGTCAGCCCATCCTAGAAGGAATGTTGGAATGCCTACTTCAGACATAAGCAGTGATATCTGCTAGATATCCTGATTCAAACATAAACTTTTTATGATTTTTCTGCACTCCGATACATGCACTATTTACAGTACATACAGGCATGTTTTGTGATAAACTTTTAAATAAGATGGTTTTTTGGTAGCTCGTCATTCATGCCGGTTAACAAGCTGTGAGCCCCCAAACATACTCATGCCTGATACAGTATGTCTCCATGTTCCGCATGCTGGTTCTGTAGCTCGTGCTGCTTTTGCACTGTCCAAGTTTAACTCTACGAGTTGCGCATCTTTGATGTTTCATCGTGCAATCCAATTGAGAGATTTAGTTCTGTGCCCAAATAGACCGTAGCTGAGTGACATCACTTGTTCTTACAGAAAGAGAGACTTCGCCAGAAGGAAGCCAACGTGTCCTCCAGCTGAGGGATTGAAAGATGTGGTGTCATTTGCAAAAGCAAATGAGGGTGTCATTTGCGAAAGCCCTGTCTGCCAGCCACCAACCACTCTACCTAGGCATCCGACCTACCCACATTGCTGCAATTTCCTCCATCACCCGCTCCCCCTTGATGCTAAAACAAGGTGGCACAGAGGAGCACCTGTGCCCACTACCCTGCTGAGGTTGGTTATGGGTTGGATGCTGCTTTCTCCACAGTCTTTGTCAACAGGAAGTTGACTGACTGCTACTATTTGTGGACTTCTAAAAGTGTGGTATGCTAACGCTGAAATTTATATAGTATTGCACCTCTGAGCTTGACAGTGAATTCTCAGTGAGACTCATTGCCTTGTAGTGCTTTCACCACTGCCTGGGGAACATTCAGCATGTCTGCAGTGGAGACTGCTGAGGTGCCGAAACCTGCAATCCATGGGCAGGCATCTTCAGAGACTGGCATCCTGGCAGAACTCCATTGCATCTGGAGTTGCAAATGTGTAGCATACAAAGGTGAACACAATGTCAACACAGTGATCTCCAAACAGGATTTACACAACTCATCGAAGGAAGACGCCAGAAACACTTAAACAGTGCGAATCTTTCCGTTGCAGTAAACACTGGAGTCGACAGAGTTGAATTTGCAGTATATGAATAATTCTCCTCTGTAAATGGGAAGATGTTATGTTTTTGTGAAAGTATAGGAAAGGTGTAAGCTGATCAGTGTATGCCTGCATGTTTTCCAAACTTCTCCACAGTGACCCCTTTTGGACCAGTGTAAGAAAGTCCAGGGATTACAGCTGGGGCTCAGATACTCAGGTGACTAGAGCATTCAGTAGGTTAGTGAGCTTTACTAAACAAGGTTGTTACAAAAATGCTTGACTGTTTGCCGTGGGATCCTCAATCCCAAATCGATAGTTTATTGCTCTACTGAAATGATCTTTAAAATGTAGGAATATAGCTGTGATATGGAAAGTAAACCATGAAGTTAAGATATTAAGCACTGCAATAGCTTTATGTACTGTGCCATAATCTTCCAGTTATCCTTGTGGTGCTGGTTAAGGCATATTGCACTTTTAAACTCTGTTTCAATTCCTATGCAACCATTTTTATTTTCCTCGCAGTACCTGAAAACATGCATTACAGTGTGTTGTTGCATTGTTTTAAAAAACCATGTTCCCTATTTTATTCGTGGAAATAACAAAAATATAAAAATATATTCAATGAAGATATATACACACACACACACACACACACACACACATATATATATATATATATATATATATATATATATATATATATGCACCTTGATGAAAGTTCTCTGACCTTTAATTATGTGTTTTATTTTGTTTTAGCCCCAATGACTGACAAATGCCCTGTTGGGGTTAGTTTTCTGTATGGCTTAAATTGGGAACCAGGTCGGAAATTTTTTATTCTAATTCATTAAGCATCGATTTACCTCTAAATAAATGACCTCAAAGATCTAGGCCTGATATATACCCTAGAGTATGTATGCTTTTGAAGTATAACGTTTAATTAACTAGTGTTTTGTTTTGAAGCTTTATATTTTTCATATTGCAGAAGTGTTGCACATCTTTAACACACTATGGTCTTGTATTAGCTTTGACGGGTGGCCCTCACGGGTACAATCAAAATGACGTAACCTTTACAGTGGGTAAAATTTAGTATGTCCATATAAGTGTATGAGCAAAAGTTTTAGGATTCTAAAACTTTAATTTGCATTTGTTTCACCTGTGTTCTTTTCTTCATTTGTGAAATTTATAATGGACATTTCTTTGATGTGTAAATTAGCGACAGGTGCCCCAGCACACTGACATGAAATATCTAAGGGATGGATGTGTTCTTGACAGACTATAGATAAATTATCTGAAAGACTTATTTTTTCGTTTTTAATTGAATTGAACATGGGCTACTATTTTCGCATAAAAAATGTGGCCTTCTTTTGGCGTGAAGAAAACGACAGCTTTGATACGTTATCGATCCTTTAAATAAATGAAACTGTACTGGCCCAACCCTGTTGTATCGGCAGTGTTGATGATTGTAAAAAACGCACCGCCATGTGTGTTGTCTATATCTGTTGATAGCATCTAAGATTCATAAAACTGCGGGTTAAAGAAAAAAATGGAAGAGGGTAAGGTCTGGGACTTGGGCAGGTTGATGAAGGGCTTTATAAAAGCGCAGTAGTGTGTAGAAAAATAAAACAGCAAATCAGTGAACCCGGACTGATCTAAACTGATGTGGTTGAAACGTGCTGCTATGTTTGTGTTCTTGGGCACTGTTAATGGACTTTTTGGAACAGTCCAAGTAAGTATAATTCAGTCATTTGAGTAACGTTTAATATACAGCCCAGCACCACCTATAGTTACGAAAAATACGATATTACTTACACGGAAATACTGGTGATAAATCAAATAAACACGTTTTTAATGTAGCTGACCTGGCTGGGAAAATCTGACACAAGTAAAGACCCCTGCTGCATGTCTGGAAAGGCGGATGAACTGTTGAGCTGTTTTTCTTTGTCACATTAGCCCAAAGACAGTTCTTGTCTGTTTAGTAAATACCAGAAAGGTGTACGTCTAATAATCGATTGCATAACATAGGAAAGACAGTTTACACGTATTAAGGCAATGAAGGTGCGCGTTGTCTGTCTCTAAGTTCCTTTGCATGTAACTTAGATTACTTGCACAGTTTTGATGTAGATTATTTAAATAAATTTTAATTCGATTTTTCAAAACATTATTTTAGCGTAGCATTAGCATTTTTCGCATTAACTTGCCAGGTTTTTTAAACAGTCGTTAGAAAATGTTCACATAAATATGCTTGCATATGTTGTTCAATTAGGCCACGTTTGTTAAATGATATGGTTGCATGTCCTTATAAATTGTTTGCCATCATTTAAATAAAGAGGGGGTACTGTGGGTTTGCAGTGCTTTCTGTGGGTAGACATTCATCTTTAAAATTACGTGGTGGACCTCAGAAATTTGCGAAGTATAGATTGCGAGTTCAAAAGTTAATAATTTTCCTAGACAGCCGGTTTTTGTCCGGCTAGCCTAAAGGGTTACATTCTGAAATGCGTAGGATAGAGACTTGTGCCTTTGACAGGTTTCCTGAGCTAGTAGGAGACCAGTAGTTAACGTGGATAACATATTTTCAAGAGGTTATTGAAAAGGTTGTTGTGCCTGACATATAATCTCTTTTCTTTTGGTCTTCACTCATAAATTATATCGCTTTACGACAGAATGTATCCAAGCGTCTAAAGAAACGTATAAAAGCCCAGCAAGAGGCTGGCTCCGACCTGGAAGAAAGTTGCCCATCACTGGAGAGGATGTGTTTATTTGGTGTTTCAGGTTAACTTGATGCATAAAATTCTCTGCGTGAAATCAGAGTATAAAGTTGCGATTTAGAAATTATATACGACCCACTTAACCTCGCCGTGGCTTGTGTGCAAAAGATGTCCAGCCCCGGGTTTCAATGTGCAGGCTTGAAGCAAGCGATTAGTAACCGCCTCAAAACTACGGCTCCACTACGGTTGTTGTTTTCCAAAACATTTAATTTGCTCTCGGAAAAGCAGTAATCCTGCTGCAATTTATGTAACAGTAATTATATGAAATGAAATTACATTTAGGATAACAGGTGTTACCTTGCAGTACTATATACGACCACTTTACAGTTTTCAAGGAGTCAGGCAGCTAAGAGATTATCATTATTACACAATTATGTACATTTGACCTTGTACAATTGTTTAATAGTTCTGGGTGGGTCCAATTACATTTCGACAAACAGCTTTTTCTTCCCTAAATTACATGAACTGACATAAACAGTGCAGACCAAGAGAGATTCACTAGAGTCCAAGTAACATTCATATTATTGATACAAACTTGTCATAATTACATTAAATATTATCATTTCTCTTTCTCATTCCACATAGTGGAAACTATTTGGTGCTCAGTCAATATTTAAACTCCCACAAAATGCATAATAGACTACTCAGGTGGAAATGGTTAGGCTATAAAGCATACCCGCCTTGATGGTGTCCAGACGGTTGTTGTTGCTGTCCATAAATGCTTTTTAAAATACTGAATATGACTAGATCTCCTCCATCGGATTTCAGGCTTACTGTGTTCAAATGAGCAGGCCAAGTTCTGCAATCTTTTAGCGGATGGCGCACACAACGGTGAATATGGCAATAGGTCAAACAGCGGTTTGCAGTGTGAAAATTCCACAACTTTTGCTATGCCTACTGAACTGTCGGTAATGTCAGTGAATGGCGCTGTGAACGAAACGTGTATAGTGTGGCTTTGATTGTAGGCTGCGTGTGTGACTAAAAATCGGGTTTTGATTTCCTTGCTAATAATGCACTGACTTCACACCAAATGACATTTCCCTCTATCCTTTGTGGGTGTGACGATTTGCCGCAATTCTGCTGGTGGGAAACGAATCCCTTTAATTGCCATGCGGTGATGCGCCATAGGTGAGCATTTCCCTTCGTAGATAAAACGGAAACAAATCGAAGGAATACCATTAGGACACGGATCTAGTCCAGGTCAATTGAAATACACCGGCACTGCTTTACGCGCTGAACGCGTCTCTTTTTGGTGGGGGGTTGTTGGTCCGGACAGTTCAGAGTGAAAGTCATGGTGGTAAACCTTTTAGGCTTGCAGAAGGAGCAAGATTGGAAGGCGCCTTCTTCTCTGCGAACGTGCCTGGGTATGTAAAAGGAGTTGCATTGCCCATAGCAGAACCTGTTAATGATAGTGCGACTGACGCACCCTTCCTCGTGGATAGTCTGCTTTAGCGGCTGGGTCTTGCACCAGTCCCGTTTCAGGTAGCGACGCTCGGTGACATGCAAGGCTTCTTGACTTGACTCCAAAACTTCCTCTGCAGGCACGGCAGACCCCCTTCCTCTGCCCCGGGACCCGGTACCCGGTTGCGGTGACTGCGGCTGATGCTCCGATTCGTTGGGGTTGTTTTTTTCTGGATGAGGGATGGCGCCCTGGGATCCACGATTCCCCTTGCCGTCTGCCTGGCAGGAAAGCAGCCCCGTAACGAATGCCAAAGCACAGAACGCGCGCGCAGTTCTGTTCATCCTGGGGGGAAAGAAAATAACGATGAACGTGACACATGATCTTATATGAAAATACACTTTTCATCAAGGAATGCGTTCCATTGCGCATCAAATTTAGTCACGCATTTCGTTTCTTATACGCCACTGTTTATCATATTCTATACAAAACAATACGAACTTGGAAATAGGAATGTCATGAATATTTAACCTTTACCCAAGAAGTACCGGGTTCCACTAAAATGACAGCCTGAACGCCACTTTGATTATCATTTAGGCAGTTCTCTCCTGTTTTCAGTCCACAGGTTTTGAACACGTTTTTGTTTAAATGGGACGTAAGCGTTTCTTGTTTAGCAAAAAAATATTTTTTTCTCCCGAATGCCGACTAGTGTCCCTTTGTTAAGCCGTAAATGAGTCTTTAAACGGTACCGCACACTATATAAACAATTGCTTTTTACTGTGTCTAAAGCACACGTCTGTGCAGTAATGGGCCATTGTAACCCAAAACATATTTTACATCCACTAAAGAAACGATTCTTAGCATATAGAGAATAAAATACGTTTGCAATCGTAAAACGCTATCTAGCCAGTTCACAATGAAAGGTGAACTTCATTATTTATTCACCAGATAACATAGTCTACATGAAATATTTGCTATTTGTCATAGCTAGTAGTCCAAAAATAAATTCACCAGGAGCTCGTATGTTTTGAGTTACTTTGTGGAAAACCAACAACTTGTGGCAAACCAACAACTTTGTTTAACAGGATAGCAACTGACTAAGCTGTGATTTTGGACATTGCCTTGATTTTAAAAGCATGAATAGCTATTATTACTGTGCATACAAATAAACGTGATTGACACCTGCTTCATAAGCTAAACCAGCTTACTCTGTAATAGACTTTGTTTTTACCCACACCTATTTGGAGTTCATATGTAAATACCCACTTAATGAAGATAAAGCATACAAGCTACTCACCTGTCAATGAATTGATCAGAGGGAAATCAAATGTACGTAGGAAGTAGTTCTTTATTGAAAGAATCCTCAGGCAGGAACGGGCTAAACGCGTTGACCGTTGTGGAGTGGGGGCGCACGCTGCTGAGAGATTGCAGTTACTAACGATTCCATAGAAAGGGAGACTGGATTTTGGTACAAATTGCAACAGCGCCGGACTGTCTCCTTTTAAAATGTCTGCCAGCTGAGATGTGCACAACAGCTCCCTTCACGTTATTGGCTAGGCACGATGAGAGGAAAAATCAAACTATCCGCCCCTCAACACTTCCCCGAACTCACTTGAGGGAAACAGTCCATCGACTTTACTTTTTTTTGAGTCCATTGGATCGGAGGAGGGCGGGGCATGGGTGCTGGGGGGGAATTGTAATCCAAGTGATACAGTACCACCACATTAAACTAACCTTATTTTGCCTTAGTGCCAGTCTTCTGAAGGACTTTTCATTTAAAAATGTATTTTTTATTTATTATCTTTGTTTTAATTATACGCCTTATTTCATCTTAAAACCGATTTGACACTGGTTTAACTAGACTGGCTGCCAGTCTTTTATGTCCACTAAAGCTTTGCTCTGGCATCGTTTCCTTCAACGAATAAAATACAGAAGTGTGGCCACATACTATTTGCACAACACTAATATTACTTTTATGTAATTTTACATGTTGTTTAATACACAGATATACATTTTTACGGGTATAAATATAATCTGAGGAGCAGAATTCCTTATCGAAAATTTGATAAACCGCTTTATTATTTGAACATTTATTTGCATATATATTTTTATTTTAATGATAATAATTGGTAACGTTCATTCGTGTCCGTATGAGCTTCCTCTGAATACTTTGGTTTCCTCTCGCAGTTAAAAAAAACAATACGAGTAGCTGAATCTAACTGTTTCTATTATCTAGTGATAATTTGCGAGCGCGTGCCTTGCATGCGAGGGACGGGCATCCCATTCAGGGTGATCCCATGCTATGCGTCGTGTTCTTCCTTCGTGTCGTGGTATGGACAGGGGAGTCGGAGGGGCATGGATACCCAGGCAGATTCAGGGGGTCCAGCACTTTCAGAGGGGCCTCTGAATGCGCAAGGTTATCTGTAAAATTAGGCGGGGGGCAGGTGACATTTTGTCAGGGGGCCGAGACTTTCTAGGTATGCTCCTAGGTATGGAAGACGGATTGATGGATGTTTTAGGACGGAGGAATGATGCCATACATACGTGAATTATTATTTTATTTAATGTGTATAAAATATTTATTCGTGCGGGGTAGCGTGTGGCTTAGTGGGCTATGGCTCTGTGCTTGTAAATAGAATGTCGCCGGTTCGAGCGCTGCCTCTGCACATCTGCAGGTCCTTGAGCAAAGCCCTTTTCATCCGTAGCTCCCTGGACCCTGTAATGGGTGGCTGCGCTTCGTAGCTGGCTTACTCGTGTGCTGCTAATAAGGTAATATAATAATCGTTGCTTTATTGAAATTCTCTTTACGTTTCCCCCAGCTCTCACCTACAGAGTGCAAGCTGGGGGAAAAGAGAATTTCAATAAAGTATCAATTATTATTAGCAGAATTATTGCATTACCTTATTATTATTATTATTAGCAGTATTTTAATGGCTGACGGTTGGCACAGTAATAAACCGCTTCCCTATTTATCTTTTTACTCACTGCTCTGGACAATTAATTTATAATAGTAATAATAATGCTTGAAACCTGCATTAATACGGGAAAATATACTTTGAGTGGGACTGTGACTTTGTTTAAGTAACCAGTTGCAGATTGTATAATTTAATTCATGCAACTGGACCGAGTAACCTAAAACAGAAACTACACTTGATAAATCCATTTGTATGAATATCCCCGGTGAAATATACACCTGATATATCTTGTCAAAAGCAACATGCCAGGAATCATTTACATCTCTCAGAATCGCAAGTGCAGTTTCAAACCGAAATTTATTTCCCAAATTTTATTTCAAGTGCTTTATCTTTGTCTTGTGTGAGGCATTGGCGTCATAAATTCTTTATTTGGTTTATTATTTAATATACGTTTTAGAAGCGTTATGGTCCGTATTTGAACTTATGCTGAAAAAGGGGGCGCAACAGTTTTAAAATCTTGTAATAATAATACGTCAACGTGATACATCTAATTATGCAGTACTCAGATAGTGTGATATATTTATTGTAATTAATTTAACGTAACTGGTTCGGACGTCATAAGCAAATTGGTCGGAATTAATATTATTTTACGGCATCTTATGGTATAAGAACATATTAATTTTTACGGCATTTGTTTTAATGTCAAGTATTGCGGCCATATAAATAATTCTATATATATGTCGAAATTTCCAGGATATTTCTAGGATGGTACTGTCAAGTACCATAATGAGAATAAACATGATCATAACGCAATGTTTTTTTTCGCTTTCGGGTATTCGGCCGTGTTGGGTACATTTCATTTTCTTTTGGGCTCTGACTTTATTTTAATTAATATTAACCATAAAAAATTTAATGTTCGTAATAATTCTCTTTCCTTTTGTTCCCCTCTATTAATTAATAAACGGTTTGGTTAAGAGGAACAGAGGAACGTGTATGGTATTGGTAATCGGATCATGTTTTCAATGAACCCCATATTTGCCATTTTCCCTCATACCTCGCCCCTCAAGACCCAGCAGTATTCGAAATGTTCCCATGTGTTAAACATATGGCGCGTGGTGTATTCCCTAGACTGAGATAGTCGCCTCTAACGTTACTTTAAATACTGCCAAGGCTCTGCCATCGACAAGTTACCGTCGATTTTCTCCTCATACTGCGTAATGCACAAACGGAAGACGCCAAAAACAGACCGCAATGCACAGCATGACATGTATTTTTCCATTGTATTCACCATAAGCCACGATGTACACAAATACATATATGATGAGGTACTTGCAGTGCGATTATGTGGATAGTAAGCGTTACAAAGTACAGATCGCGGCTATTTTTCAGCCTGAAACACTGTCGAAGATGGCATCAGCGTTTGGGAAAAAAGCTTGATATCACAGCAATCTCTTATTAGTAATGGGATCAAGTGAATCATGTATTTTCAAAGGAAAATAAGATGTAGAAACCATCAACAGTACATTCTAAACAGCATCTCACCACTTGCAAGTCCAAAATTATGATAATAACAATAATAATAATGATTCAAATTTGGGTATTTACAGTAAATTAAAATGAGTGCAAATCTAAATCACAATTAAGTTGTAATTATACTGATACTTCTGGCTAACACACTGTTCGCAATCAAATTGAATTGAGTCATCCAATAATGCCTTTTAACCATCCGTTTAACCATTACAAGGGTAGTGTGACGTATGGGAGTTCAGCTGAGCTCCCTGTTTCACATTTTGTCTGGACTGGTGACAGTTGGTTCCACCTCATCCTCAGGGAAATGGGGCACAGATTTTTTGGCCACCACATTGTCCAGCCTCTGTCCCATCAAGAAGGGATTGACACTCTGGAACAAATGTAAAACAATAGAAAGAACAACATCATCAGTTCTGATGATCATTTTTTGTTGTTGTTGTTGGGGGGTGGGGAGGGGGGATGGTGGGTTATAGGGCATCAGGGTCCCTAAACCAAAATGACCACTTTCTGAGTTTGCCTCTTTTAAACATATGATTTGATGTTTGATTTGTAATTCTAATCCCACAACTTTTAGAACTGTGTCTACATACCTGCATATATTTATACATAAAATCCCTTTCTGCATACAAGGGGGCAGCACATAGCTGGGACAGGGAATGAGTTTACGGCTGCTGGTTTTAAATGCTAGCACACGCATCCACATGAAAGCGGCCTGCTTTGGGGAGCATGGCTAGAAAGCGGCCTGTTTTGGGGAGCATGGCCAGAAAGCGGCCTGTTTTGGGGAGCATGGCCAGAAAGCGGCCTGCTTTGGGGAGCATGGCCAGAAAGCGGCCTGCTTTGGGGAGCATGGCCAGAAAGCGGCCTGCTTTGGGGAGCATGGCCAGAAAGCGACCTGCTTTGGGGAGCATGGCCAGAAAGCGGCCTGCTTTGGGGAGCATGGCTAGCACCTCCAGCCTGTTATTACTAGGAGGAGGCTGGTGTTTCTTCTACGAAGGGGAGACAACAAAAGCAAAAGTACCCTCTTTCTTCTCTTTGGTCCACCCTTGAATTTCTCAAACAAGAGCTCCTTGTTCTGAAAGAGATTAACAACAAGTGCTATCACAAAAGATATGTATTTAAACGGTCTGTGTGCTTCATGTTGATGAATATTAGACAATCTGATATGTCACTTGACCTCTTGGGAAAACAAAACACATACCTGATAATCTTATTTACCAACATCTGCAGACTGCCCTACCTCTCATATTCCATGCAGGAAATTGCTTTACATGGTAAATCAGCAGATTGTTTTACATGCTTTTATTACAGCCTGCCTTTGTTTATGTATGTATGTATGCATTTTTAAAAAACAGCTGCCAGCTGTTGCCGGTTTTCCACCAAAGATGAACAGAAAATGCCACCAGGTTGAAAACATAAGGTGCCCGAAAAACTGCAGGTGAGTTCAGAGACCTGCATGGTATATGTGATGATACATCTGGATTGTGATGACAGAAAAGGGAGAAGAAGCAACTCAACATTTGATGCACAGCCCCTAGTGGACAGAGCAAGCTACTGCATGTTAGCTGCATTAATGAGGATCATTAATATCCATCTCTGCCAGTGAGAAGAACACAGTCATTCTGTTATAGGTAAGTCCAAGGAAGGACACAAAGCCCCTGTCCCCACGCACTCACCCACTTGGCCAGCTGCGGGTATGGGTGTGCCGAATCAAACAAGTGTTGGCGCTGCTGGAACTCCCTGTTAAACTTGGCCGTGTTGGGAAAGTTCTCCAGGCAACCGTCTGACTCTGGGGACAACCCATCATAGCACAGACTGAACAACATGACAAAAGCCAAAACATTGTCCATTTGCAATGATGGCACACAGAGTCCAGTGCCTTCGCATGTTAATTCTGTGAGGGGTCCAAATTCAGGGGGTCAATGCCCATTATAGTCATCTTTTGCAATAACAAGTAAAACCACAAGTTCATTAGATTAATTATTTTAGAAGAATATTATTTTGTTGCTTAATTTCTTTTTATCTAAAACAATCAACAGTCTTATGCTCACAGCTGTATCCTTTACTGGAACAACTCAGGTGAACCCCCAGTTTCAGGGTCCAAATTCAAAGTTCTTCCAGGTCTTTGCAACCTTTGTAACACATTACTGTAGCCAAGCTATAAACAGCAGGGGAACGGAGAAAGGGAAACACTACCAAAAGCTTCTCCTTTATACATCTCAGTGAGGGGGTGAGCCTGGCAGGTGGTATAGGACTGAGCTCTGAGTGGACTGCAAGGGAGGAGATCACGACGGGGTGCACTTCTCCGATTTGTTCGGGCTGGGCTAAAAGTGGCAGGACTTGGGCTGCATGCCAAGCACCTTCCCTGACCCAAAATGACTTATTGACGTGTATGAAAAATTAATGGGGGAGGCCTTACAGGGTCCTCCTGAAAGGCACACAAGCTCGCCGGCTGGGAGACACAAGAGAGAGGTGCTCTGAGAAAAGCAAAAGCTAACTTTACTTTCTTGCGAATACATAATTGTAAACATAAATGAAAGGAGGGACAGAGGGACTATGGGACTTCTACAAAACTGACTACACATGTTAACTTTCCCCACGCACACAGTCCTTCTCCTAGGCAACACTGGAGAGGAAGCAGATTCATCTAGGGACTTGTTGCTTCCAGCCCCCCCCCCCCCCCCCCCCCACAACCTGCCCTTCAGAACTCATATTTAAAGTAACCTGCTGGTGCTTAAAAAGGCTGTATATCTTCAGTTCAAAATGAAGGCCAAATTCAGAGGGGGTCTTTGTAAAAGGACACGCTGTGCTGAAGGTAAACACACTGTGTGTGTGATGCCTTATTAACCTGCTGTTGGTGTGCCCATGGAGCTTCACCAAAGGCCACTAACGAACTTCTGACTTTCAGGAAGATGCCTTGAGGCCTATTCAGGCTCGCAGGGCCTGTCCAAAGCGAGGGAAAGAGCTCTGCACCAGTTAATGATAACAGCGGCAGTCTCGCAGCTCGCCGGTGGCCAGTCTCTAAGGGAAGGTATGCCATGCAGTGGCATTTTTATGATGCCATTTAATGGCCGTCGGAGAACATCCTCTTGCACAGGCATTAAGAGGAGACCTAAACATTTCAGGAAGTATCACTCAAATAATAAAGTGGTAGGAACAAAAACAGGTAAATGGATGAAAGAATCAATGTTTTGTGGTTTTTACTGAAAGACTTAACACAGGTGCTTAATTATTTACCACTTAATGAAGCAACTCCATCAGCAGGGAATGGTTACCTGTACAATATAAACCATAGTTGAACCAACTATGTTAAAGGCGTGACAAACAGAGGTTCATCATTTTTGTAGCGTACAGAACTTAAAAGTAGGAGGAAGCTTCCCATGTCTAGAATGTGTTTTTCAATACCATGTTATCACATTAAGACACACAAACCTACCTGTCTTGCCCAAAGGACAAGGATTTGGAGGGTCCGGATAGCCCTCATCCTCGCTGAAGTCCTTAGGGACATTGTCCCCTGTTAGCTCTGCAACTATGTTGGGAATGTTTCCATAAGGTCCCAAGTGCTGGAGCCCCTCATGAGCACCACCTAATGGAGAACAGGATTACTAGGATTTCTAGGGATTTTTTTAATGGAAAATAAAAGTATTTCAATATTCAGACATTTTCATAATATACTGAAATTGGACATAAGTTACCAAAGCCGAGGTTATGAAAGAAATCCAGAGATAATAGTTCAAAAAGCTTTTTGATCTAACTATCCATTCAAAGTGTATTCTCTGTCTTGTGAAAATGTGCCAGATGACTCAGTTGCAAGTGGTTTGTGAGTTCCTTGAACTGAACCTAATACAAAGGAAAAGTAGAAAATATCAGGCTGTTTAAAGGCCAATGTACAACTCATGTTCAAGTTCAAGCTGGAAAATATTATAAACTAGGTTTATACTTTTTTGGGCAAAATAAGTACATTCTTCCAGAGTATAAACTAACCTAAGACTCATTTGTTTCCACTGGTGTGTGCTAGTACATAAACTGCTATTGAATTTAAGAAAAGCCTATGGCTTCTCAAGCCTTATAAACATAGCTGTCAAGTCTCCCATTTTGGCCGGGAAACTACCGTATTTTACCCCTCTTTCCCGCCGTCCTCCCGTATTAGTATTTTCCCGTAAATCTCCCGTATTATAATATCATTTTTTTTAAATTCCTCTGCCTCTCCAAACCGAACTGCCAGTAGCCTCGCAAGAACTGCCACCTGCAGTAGTCTGCAGGTCATTTACAACATTAACCAGGTCATAAATGTGGAGGTTAAAATGGCAATGCTGTGTGCCAAAAACAACGTTACTTTCACCTTCTGTGACGACTTCAACAAGGATACAAAGTCTGCAACAAATATGTATAATAAGTCATCAGTGAATGCCAGAGAGCCACATGAGTGAACATGAGAAATTAAAATAAAATGTGTAATGAAAATAAAATGTAAATGACAAGTGGTTATTTTAGATTTCTTGTACACCTGTCTTAAAATGTAAGGGATACTGGAGCTTGGTTGGGGTGGTGGGATGGCTTGCGGTGGGTGCCGGAAAATTTCCCTTATTTTCAAATCCAAAACTTGACAGATATGCTTAAAAACACTAAAGGACCAGTTACCTGTACCAAAAAGAATACCATTAATATGCCTCAGATTTTAGGTAGTGACTTTATTTTCCTCTGGCGCTCTCTTGTGGAATATCATAGTTACTGCAGTAATTCTGAGGTCATTAACAGAAGGTTGTCCATTTCAGAATTAATTACTGAGCTAAATGCGCAGTTAGTTATTTTTCCCTGAAACCAACACAACAGAAGAGTGCAGTTCATCTGTGAAATGAAATGATTGTGGTATCTCTTCTCACTGTGTAAGGGAGTAGCTATAGAAATGCTTGAAGTGTCATTGTTCAGGATGACAATCTGTGACGCTGACTCTGTCTTTTGCTAGTGCTCCACAGGAGTTCTTGCAGTGTCAGTTCTCATGCTACAGATCTAGACGGTGCTCCACACCATAAGGTAGCACAGCCAGTACACTGCGAATGACTTCATCCTGCCATCACCAATGCAGGTCATGTGACCTCACTGCAGTCACAGACACTGGCGACCCCTGGCTGCCAGACGTTGAAAATGGGACTTTTCCCAAATTGGCCTATTTGGTTACTGCTTATTTTGGAGATTCTCAATTCAGCCTTGTCACTGAAACCATGCTGCAGATGCAAATGGGAGTTTTGTCACCTTTCCAGTCTGTCCCAAGCTGCCTTGAGCCAAGCACCAACACAGGGATCTAGTCAGTGAAGAGGGGGTATTGGGTTCAAAGAGTTACCTTAGTTTGTACCCCCTCCCCCTCACCAAGGAAAATCCATGCAAGGATTACAGGGGTCAGAATGCAACCGTGTAAGACAATCTGAAAGAATTCTCTGTATATTATTATGTTTTATATTGCTGTATTTTCTTATGAAAAGGCCATTTAAAACAGCAGGCTTTCCCAAGAAAGGTCAACATTAAAAGGGTCTGACTGTTGCGTAACTAATCCTTTAGAGCAGCAAACAGATGGACTTTTACGCAATTATGATCTGGGGAGCCAGTGTGTGGCATCGCTTATTATCTATTAGCTGTTGGCATTACATTCCAGATCATAGTTAAAACATTTGTTGTTATTTTCCACAAACCTTTATTTCTTTTATGAGGCTCTATAACATGACTTTGCCTGTACTGGATGTGACCTACATTCGTTCTTTCTCAGTGTAGTGTGGCATAGTGGCTAGCAGTGTTGCTTCACACTACAAGGCTTAAGGATTCAACTCCCACCTCCATTGTGTGTCTGGAATTTGCAGGTTTAGAAGACTATTTGGTTATTTATAAAAACCCAATTTCTTTTTTTTTTATATAGTACATAAAGCAAATGGTGACCACCTTGGATGCTTTGTGGTCCAACGATGTTAGTAGCCTGGTGAGCAGGATATTCCACCCTGGGACGTGCGATACCCAGCTCCTCGATAATGCCGTGCAGCAGACGCTGGAGATCAGCCTCCGATACCTGGTCCACCGCGCGGGTGCTGCGGCCGGAAGTGAACGCCGCGCAGCACAGCAGCGCGCCCAGTACGGCTGTTTGCACCGGCCTGGCAGAGGAAGCCATCGCTGCCTTAGCCTGTAAATCATTAATTAGATTCGTTCATAAAACAGATCTCACCGAGTAAGAATTTATTACCCACTTATTTATAGCTTTTAGCGCCGGTAATCGTATTCTACCAATAGTTTAAAGGACATTTAAATGTATTTTTATATTTCTTATTTAAGGCTCGTTTCGTTGACTCAGTATTATACGTTTAAGATAATATTTTCTTTTCAGAATTATAATAAATTAGATATTCCTGAACGCCACTCCACAGTAATTACGTAGCTACTATGTTATTGAGAGTCGGTGAACGTAATTGCAGAATGGACATATGGATAATTTTAATTATTGCATACAAAATAATATTGTATAAAGTACGACCAAGATGCTCATGCATTGCTTGTTAATTTTTGATTTGTAACGTTCGTTTTTATTACGGTACACATTTCACAAAAAACGCAACATTTCAGTATGAAACCTGGAAAATTCTAAGGTTCGAAGCTGAAATTATATGCGTCACTGGTTTTTGTATACAACGTCGATTACAATATCCTATGCAGATTTATATAGTAACCACTACATTCCGGAGAAAATTGGTACTTGCTTCCACAATTCCTAGAAAATGAGATCGTTTTGTTCCGATGCTCATGTTTACAACGGAAAAAATATTTATAAAGGATGGGCGATAATGTTTCCTTACCGTTTAAAAGAGAAGCGGGCAGGCAGCACTGACGGTCTGTTCTATCGCGATCGCCTCCTGGCTGCGCTCTTAATAATGTATGCAGTTACCACGGCAGCCTAGCCACTCCATATGGCCTTCGCAGCCTACGGCGGCCTGTTCCGAGCATCTATCTTAACACAATCTATTCATCATGATCGCTCTTGTCGGATTATAGACCACAACGCAGTTTGTCGAGATATTGTTCTGCGTGTTTGATGTGAACTCCTTTTAACCATCTTTTCATACAGAAATGATACAACCCGTGTTTTACTTCCGTAAGTCAGCAGTGTGTGTGTCTAAAGGATAGCATGGCCATGTCCAGTTAAGATCAAATCAATCACATTTTATAGCATTTATTGGATGTTAAATTTCAATTTTTTGCATAATCGTCATGTCATACGCAAAATTTCACTATAAACACTCCTTGAAATTTTTTGAAACAGGACATGTAAACTTATTCTAACCAACTCAAAAAAAAACAAAAAACGTAAATTACAGTAAAGGCCCAAAACGAAGCAAATTCTAATCCTTTTAAAAATGATAAATGCTAATCTTAAGATTCAGTAAAACTATAAAGTCTATAAAAATTAGATATAAATAAGACTAAGGCGCCAACCTCACACACACCAACCCATGTCTTACACTCAAAATGAATTACCATCGGCCAATCAGAAGTCACGGTAGATGCTCACATCACAAATTCAGGCAGAAATCAGAGTACTATACAGCAATAAATCACTATTCTGTCAATTACCAACCAGTCACATAAATTAAGTTTTGTAAACAAAGGAGAAAATGTTTTCTGTTCAGTTTTAACAAATAGCCTAGATTGCACATATAGCAATAAGTAAAGCATTGCAAACAATAGGGTCAGAGGTCAATGGGCTTCATGGCTGAGAGAAGCCTGCCTTCACTAAGGGGGTTTCTGGGTGAGCCTCTGTAGCAACATTTGTCATTTTCATACACCTCATGCAAAATGATCTTCGGTGGGTTCACAGAACGAGAGGCGGTGTTACTTTTGAGCGGCTGGCAAGGCTCGCTTTTGGCCTTTTGCTTTACCCTGTTAGTTACATCGTCGAGGGCACTGCCACCACCTTGCCGCCTATTGGTAGAGGGCCTCCTTGGGGCAACTTTAGGGCGCGGTTTGGCTTGCTTGTCTACGTGCGCTTCACTGACCCGCCACTCTGTTACAGACAGGCCGCTCTCCAGGCTGATGGACTTCCTGACAGGACTCTCGGGAACCTGGACACGTGTTGTGCTTATGAGCAGAGTGTTGATCCGCCTAACAGACTGGCGGACAGGGGTGCGCTGAAACTTGAGGGGGGATCGGACTGCTTTGGTCTTGGGGGAATTCAGGGTGAGGGTATTGAACCGTTGGATGTGGTCGGCCACCCGCAAGTGTCGTGCTTCTTTAGGGCCCGCCGAGTTTTCAGACTTTACACGGCAAACCTTAGCAGTGGGCAGCTGCATGGGTGGGGGGGTGCCAAGTGTAGAAAGACCTGGGCTGTTCAGCTTGGGCACTTGCAGTTCTATTCTGTAGGACACTGACGGGCCATTACCATCGATGATCTCAACCGACCCACTGTTGTTCTCCTGATCAGCCTCTCCTATGTCACCCTTCCCCCCTGACTGGAATACAGATTCCTCTTTGTCCAGAGAACTCTCTGACGGTCCAAGCTCAAACAGGGTGGAGTCAATATGTAAAGGAGTCAGAGGAGTTATTTCTAGCTCACTAATTGTCACATTTTGTTCATCAGTAACTGCCTTCTTTGGAGTCGGACTGTAACAGCTTTGTTTGCTCTCCTGAGAATCTGTAGACGTGAGGCTTGTCTCCTCGGCTTGCATTACCAGCTCCTTCCCTGAGAGGGCGCTACAGTCAATGAGCGAACGCTGGTTGGTGCCAGACTGTGCGAACGCCTTCTTGATCTGAAGTACCGTGGGCCCAGTCACGGTGTCGCCCCCCACGGAGGAGGAGCAAACATCCTCAGATAAGTGTCCGACAGCAGGGAGCTTGGTGGTAGCCAGAGTGGGCTCTGAGCAGCTGCTGTTCTTATGGCATCTTCCCACGGGGGAGTCTGAAAGAGAGTCACTGCTAAAGGCCCGGGACACAGCAGGGCTGCCCAAGTTCCAAGACGTTTGCTGTCCAGCCACAGCACACTGTGGGCTCAGCAGGTTGTCTTCAGACTTGCTTATTTGCTTGGAACCTGCAAGACAGAATAGTTGATAGCAAACATACCCCCCTTACAGCTTGGTATTAATTTTACAACCAGGGGAGGCAGGGAACAGGAGTATACAAGGAGATTCACTTACGTTTTGAGGGCCTCCTGCCATGTGAAGCAGCAGGACTGAAAGGCGTATCTTTGGTGAACTGAAAGCTGCTGGTGCTTTCTTGAGTGGCAAGCCGCCAGCCAATGGTCTCAGATGCCTTTGGCCCCAGGAGAGAATGTGAAATGACATTCTGTTGAAATAAAGGCGTCTCTTTTTTACTAGGATTGTAGATACACAAGTGCTTGTGTGTCCTCTTTGGCTTGTAGAAGTTGCCAAAAAGAAAAATACTAGAGAAAAAATACTGCTGGTCAAAAGATATTGGTTATAATTTTATTATTTATTAAATATACATTTGAGTATAATGCGTTTTAAAAAAGCCATTTCACAAAAATGTTACAAGATATTAAGAAACCACACAACAGGTTTCACATTGCATTAAAGTGCCAAGACCTATTCTATGTTAACAGATTCTTTTCATGTTAATAACACACCTTCCCATCAGTTAAGGAGTATGAACATTACATATATATCTTTGCATACACTGCATATTTGCACCTACTTTTTCCATCTTTAACCATCACAAAGACATAAAAGACAGGAATTGATTATACAAAGTGCAAAGTTTAGTGGTTACTTAAAAATCAATACCTAATTAGCAAAGAATGATTTTGGTATTAAGACTAAAAAAGTACCATTTCATAGTTTAAACAAAACAATCTGGACACTAAATGTTCATCAAGTGTCAGCTCACCCCCCACCCCTCAAATGAAATTAAAAATCACAGTAAATATTTAATTAAAATCATTAAGGCAGAAGCTGAAGCCAGACAACACGAAACATAAAAGGTTGGAAACAAGCATAAGGCTGGTTGACCATCTTGCCCAACACTGTACTGTGCCCATGACAGGCATGCACCAAAGCGGATTGATTAAACGGAGTCAAGCCAGAAGACTGCTTTCATGTTCGACAGTACCAGCAGCAGCACGAGCACGTTGGAGCAGACAGTCACTCACGGCGTTTTAGAGTCTGGACTTACAGGGTCTCCCCTACTCCTCCCCAGGGAGAAACGCAAACGCAGCGATCTGCGCACAGACTCCTTCTTGGTTCCTCTGGGAGAGAAGCAGCCAGCTTTCCCCGACTCAACTCTGGGGGGCAAGTCAATAAAGTTGTCATGTCATCAAGTGGAGGGTTGAAGACTGCAGCAATGCAACTTGTAATAGCAACAGCTCGGCCAACCAGCAAGGTGTGTCAGAGCTAACACCAGCAAATTAAACGGTCAGAGTTACAGGCCTGGTTTATGCTAGGCTTGAGGGGTACCTAATTTTTCCACATAGTCATACCTTCGAGACATCAGACTAATATATGGTATTTTCGAAAGCAATGCTATTATTGTAATTATTATACTGGCAGACAGCTTACTCTGTGATTAGCTCAGAAGTCCAGTGACTATCAAACAGGCTAAAGAAATGGACACACCCACCTGCTTACATGCTTGCTCATCCGTTTGCTCTTCCTCCTTGCAGACATGCCAGACGGCTCTCTAGTCTTACCGACTGAGGCACTCAGGGACACACAGGGGCTGGAGTCAAGCCCCCTACCTGGGGAACAACACAGGTGGGAAATGTGTGGAGACTGTATACAAGCCCACTCACTCCCAATCACACATTACACAAAGTGGCAGTGGGGGGCTGGTATGCAAGAGGCTGAAGTACCTGAGCCAGGGGTAGAGCTGCTGCTGAACAGGCTGTTGGGGAGCAGCTCCAGCCCCAGGTTCTTCTTGATGGACTTCCTCTTCTTGTTTGAGAAGCTGCAGCTGTGAGCCACCTCCAGGGGCATCTTCCTCTTAGTGTTTGGAGTCACAATCACAGGTGTCACCGAGAAGACTTGGAGAGGACAGAAAAGGCCAGTGTTAGTCTCTCCATTTCACTGTCACCTCTGAAGATTGGCAACATCAGAGCTTACAAAGAGCATTCGCATAGCCAGCAACGCATCCAACGTCAAAACGACTGGGTGGCCATTTGAGACCTGCCAAGATGGAGAAATACTTAAATATCTATGAACAGCAGAGGAGAACCAGCAGAGAAACATGCACAAGCGCAGAAATGCATCAGCATGCAAAGCAACTTGAAATGACTCAGAAGAATCATTCAAACTGCCTTTCAAATTCATTTTATACCGGTGCATTCCAATCCGGTCCTTGGAGACCTGCAGACAGTCCATGTTTTTGCAGGCCGCCGAGAAGAAGCAAAACACATGGACCACCTGTGGGTCCCCAAGGACCGAGTTGGGAAATACTGGTTTACACAAATTAAAATTTAACCGGCATCGGGTTACAGCAATTCTCCATAATCTGCCGACTGACAAGCCAATTTCAGCAAGGCAGTCTGAACAATAATCAGCGTCGCTGTGCACATCCCAAAGCCAAAGACCTACCATCTTCACTGGACAGGGATGAATTCACGGGCGTACTATTAGCTTTTAACTTATGTAGAGCTCCATTAACCACATCTGGAATGCAAGAAAGAATTGTCTCATGCTTGGCAAGTGGCCAGTGGATGTGTGCCAATGCACAGCCAGCATTGGTTAAAGGCTCTACATTGGTGCAAAAACGGCAGGTGACCTGATCCGAGTTGCATCTGCAGGGTGTGTTACACAAGTACAGCACAGGAGACCACACCGTTATTCCGCAGAGTTCTTACCTCCTAAACTCCGCCTCTGTTTCTTCTTCACCCCAGAGTCCGTTTCCCAGTCCTCGACTTGGATTGGCACAGGTGAGACCAGACCTGCTTCATAGCCTACCATGGCTGGGATCCTCTCCAGGATGAATGGAGGGACCACTCCTACAAAGACGACCACCATCAGCACCAGGGCAGTACACACACACACACACACACACACACAAAAAACCCACACACACACACACACACACACACACACAAAAAACCCACACACACACACACACACACACACACACACTTCAAACCACCATAAAACAAGCTTTATCCTGCTTCGTACCGATGTCCTGGGGGTTCTCGATGAAGAAGCGCACGATGGCAGCCTGCAGCTTGAGCTTTCTCTCCATACCAGAGCTCATCTTCTCCACACCCTCACAGTGCAGGAGATTTGGTGTGAAAATAACTGACAGATTCCCACTGTCCATCTTATTCTCACTACATCTATGAGTGACAGGCAAAAGCAGAGAGAAAGAAAAATCACCGCAGGCTGATCATGATGATCAAATATACACCATTTGTTCACATCTTGCATTGCTGAGTCTTGGCCACCCAACAATCCAATATTGGCAGATCATTGTTTCTCCCACCTTGGAACACTTGGTAGGTGCTCACTACAACTGACCATAAGTACCCCACAAATATCTAATATAACTCAGACCATGGCAAGCGCTTTTTTACAAGATGGTCAAAGTTAATCATGTCACGTAAGGGTGTTCATGATGTTTTGGCTCATCTATGTATATTTATTATCTATTTCATGTAAACACACACCTCTGTGAGACATCTCTGAGGAAAGTGAAGAAATAGCGCAGAATGTGAGCATTTCTGTCAGGCAGGACACAGGACAGCAGTTGGAGAGCAGAGGTCTTCTCCTCAGCTGTGGGCAGCTGCTGTGCCTTGAGCAGGGCTGCCTGTAGATCTGTAGGCAGGATGGGTTCTGGCAGCTCACGAAAGAACCGTTTCAGAAGGCCAGCCACGTCACAGGGCAGGGCTGTGGGGATGCAGCCCTCTCCCTGATCCAGCTTCACCTAAGGGGAGGGGACAGGACCAGTCAAGGCATGTACATCTCCCTGCACCCGGGCTGCTCGCTGACATCAGGCTGTGACTCACCCTCAGCGCTTTCAGACGAGTAACAGAACCAGACTTCCTAAACAGACCCTCTGTGTGGACATGTTCGATAAGCTTTGTGCAGGCATCCACCAAGAAACTGTAAATCAGAAAAGATAGACTAAGAGCAGAATGTGCCTAAAAATTATACATTTTTTTCTCTCCAAAAATCCATTTCAAACAGCCTTCAGTGGCAAGCAACACACATGCGTTGATACTGTAGTAGGGGGTTGAGGAAACAAGCTTACCAGGGTATAGTACCATATTCGGGCACAGCACATTGCGCCAAGTTGTCAAGAGGCACTCCAAAGACTCTGACCTATGAAAACAGAAGGTCTATTCACATCCATACAATGCTCTCTTCAAAAAGTCCTGAAATGGTACAGCGTGAACCCAGGTGTCTGTGGGAAGGAAGGCATTTTTCAAGTACAGGATTATAAGGGAACAACCTGTCCCACAGGAAAGTAGTGCGGTCACGCAAATTCAATCATCCACACACCTTGCCCTGGAGAGCCTCCGATACGGTCTCCTCAGCGATTTCTTTGTTCAAAGCAGAAAATAACCACTAAATCCACTAAACCAGCGACAGGGCACAGTGCAGTAAAAATGACAACCACAAGATGACGACATGATTTTAAGTGTAAAACTAATACGTGATTTATACAATGTATTCGCTTTCATTTACGAGCCAAAAAGACCGACCAATAATTCCAATTTGTTCCCTGGCATGTTCACGGTGCTTCGGCTCTCGGAGCAGCTGTGCTGATCACAACCCCCACCCCACTCCGCACAGTTGAAGCCCCCGGCGGTCAGCGAAAGGCAGATCAGGATTAGCCCATTTGGTTTGGGAATACAACCCGTCATGTACACACCATCTCTGTCACATTGTTTTGCAGAAAGCACCAAAACTGATGGAAAACGCCACAGAATGCAAAGGAACTGACGTTTTTAGTCCTCAGTCCATAAAATAAATAGATGAATTGCATAATTAGGCATGGAGTTCTTACCCGAATACACATTCTTCTCCACAGGACACAATTACAGGTAATTAACTAGGCAAAGAGACCCAAGTGTGTTTACATTACTGCCCTGTCGCCAGAGGTAGTCTACACGTCCCTGCGTATTTAAAAAAACAACCTGTGTTTATTACTCAGAAAATGAGAATCAATAATTAAGCAAGATATTACAGTGTTTTTGTTGCGTTATTCTCCATTTTTGTACAACACCCCTACTCTTTGCGGAATTATACCACTGTTGATGGAAATCCAAAAAGTATATGGTGATTGCGAGTAAACGTGGGTGGGCTGGTGGGACGGGGAGGTAAAGTAAATTCGCCTACCAAACATGCTATAACTTTAAAGAGAAAGAGAGAGCATAATTTATTTTTGCTCCCGAGAAAGGATCCTATAATCGTCCGTGGCACAGAGTGATAGATGCCAATATGTTAACAGTAACACAAGCAACCGGCTAACAACGTCAAGGTTGAGCAATTAGTCAAACAATGAACAACTTACCGAAGGGCCGCCTGGAAACTTGCACGTCTTACTCTTGTTCCAGTTTTTAATCTTTATTCCATACTGAGCTCTTATGTGCTGCACGACGGCCAGGCGCAGCACGTTCTTATCCGATATCTTCATTTTCAAAGCAAATCCAACGAAATCCAAGCGACGAGTATACCACACTGAATGCAAAGCACCTTTTGTCTCTCCTCCCGTTCAGTCACAAACGTTCTTTTTTAAGTCTCTCGTTTCGGTTGATAGCTCTCTTCCTGATCAGCCAACATTATACATAACGTTTACCAGCTTCTTTCCCGCACATACACAGACCCCAACTCACATCCTAGACCTACTTATGCTCTCTACATAATCCTGCTACATCTTTAGAAGTTTCACTGTCTTTTATAGCTTTAATTATCCACAAGTGTATACTTCTTTATTGCAGACTGCCTAAATACCTTCCAATACTTCTTCCCGTCTCACCCTCTTTTCTTCTCTAATGATTCAAACGGCGGTGTTTCCCGCATCCCTTTTCTGATTGGATACGAAACTTCAAATATCAGGACCCAACAACTGTAGCGATAGCCGTCCTTCATTTTGCCTGTTCGACATAAACGAAACATTTATTGCTACTCGTTTTATCTTTTCAAAAGAAAGTGGATTTTTTAAAATGAATTGGAAAAAATGTTTTCTAAACAACGGCACAATCAGTTGACAAATAGCAATAACATAACTACTGCTTTTAGAGAATTCTCTACAATAATATTGTAGGACTTCATATGTTCTTTGTACTTCTTAGTTAACTGTATTTTTCGTTTTAATTAGAAAAAATTTGACACCATAGTTACTGTTACAAGCATCTATTTTTATTAAAACAGAACATGTATATACAGTACACAGCACAGTACAAATGCAGACAGAGGAGTGTATGGAAGGGTGTTGGTTGTTTTGTTTAGAAGCACTTCCTGTGGACAATGGAGGGGCCAGCCTCGTCGTATTCCTGCTTGCTGATCCACATCTGCTGGAAGGTGGACAGGGAAGCCAGGATGGAGCCACCAATCCAGACAGAGTATTTGCGCTCAGGGGGAGCAATGATCTAGATGAAAAATAAATAGCATATTACATCCAATCATCCACCATTTATCTTCCAAAATATATCACATAGATTCAGAACTGTATCAGAACCATCTGCCGTACTTTCCTGCTAAAGTAGTCATTAAATGCCTGTTGACACAAAATATGAATTCTCTCACCTTGATCTTCATAGTGCTGGGGGCCAGAGCAGTGATTTCCTTCTGCATACGGTCAGCAATACCAGGGTACATGGTGGTACCACCAGAAAGGACGTTGTTGGCGTACAGGTCCTTGCGGATGTCAATATCGCATTTCATGATGCTGTTGTAGGCGGTCTCATGGATACCAGCGGACTCCATGCCTAGAGGAGGAGATGGAACAGTTGTGTTATGGATGTAGCTGGGAAAACTCTATGAAAGATGGTAGTGTTTAGAAGGGGTAATGTGGAAATCCAGAGTTTTCGGGTGTGGTTGTGGATGCTATGATTTTACATGAGGGACTTCTTTTACATGTGCCCCTCCACTTGGGGGCAATACAGTTGAAGTGTTAGAGAACAACTGGGACTCACCAATGAAGGAAGGCTGGAAGAGGGTCTCTGGGCAACGGAAGCGCTCGTTGCCGATGGTGATGACCTGACCATCAGGCAGTTCATAGCTCTTCTCCAGAGAGGAGGAAGAGGCAGCAGTGGCCATCTCATTCTCAAAGTCCAGAGCCACGTAGCAGAGCTTCTCCTTGATGTCACGCACGATCTCACGCTCAGCTATGAGAAGCAAGTTCAAAAGGAGACATGAGTAGCAGTCACAAATGCGAGCAACTGAACATCCTTTAAAATGCGATGATCTGAGACAGAAAATTTCTCTTCCTCAGATATTCCAACTGAAGGTAAATACTGATATACAGTCACACTGTTCTAAATTAACTATTGCCTGTTATGTACATTATACATTTGAAACAGCCAGCATTAATTTAACAGTTAACTTGCAGAGTCCAGAATTTGCTGTATGTAGATTATGTGTGGAAGTATTAGCATCTTGTGTTAGAGGATAACTGTTTCTGAAGTTCGGGAGGAAGTCTTTTCACAGTGTTTCTTTATCACTCGGCAGACTTACCAGTTGTCACAAAAGAGTAGCCTCTCTCAGTCAGGATCTTCATTAGGTAGTCAGTCAGATCACGGCCGGCCAGATCCAGGCGCATGATGGCATGGGGCAGAGCGTAGCCCTCATAGATGGGCACGTTGTGGGTCACGCCATCCCCGGAGTCCAGCACGATTCCTGCAGACAGCACATAGCCCACAGTTACACGTCTGTGTGCCTGTCAGAGAGGCTAACCTTTGTGAGTTCCTCTGCACTTGTCACTCCATAAACAAACATGGCTGCTGACATTAATGGTTACTGGTGGGGAACATAGCCTGCCTGTGAAGTATTCCTGCTAAGCCCTAACAATGTAAAGGCCATTCATCCTGCTGCCTGGCAGCTAAACAAAGCTCGTTGTTAACGCTGTCGTACTGAAGTGACCCTGTGCATTCATACGCAAGGTAAACTCACAGATATTGTAGTGCCACCTAAACGGTATGAAGTACTGGCAACAACTTCTCCCAAAGCAGCCCTTATACCTCTGATTTGACTCTATATATACTAGATATTTCTATGTATCAGATGTACATTAATTTAATGTGAACCTGCATTCTAAAATAGTTATGACAAAGTCAAGTGGCTCTGTTAAGTTCATTAATGCCCTTGGAGAGTATTCGTTGACTTTGTTGACTGCATTAAAAACAGGAGACTTAAGCCAAGCAGGTTGATGTGTCTGGGTTATATCAGCCTTCCATGCTGGCTGCTGTTACGGAGGATGGTGAACTTTGCTGAATACTGACCAGTGGTACGGCCGGAGGCATAGAGGGACAGCACAGCCTGGATGGCCACGTACATGGCGGGGACGTTGAAGGTCTCAAACATAATCTGTGGGGTTGAATTGACAGCTGTTTGAAACGAGTGGCATTCATTGTGCGGCAGCTTGTCAGACCTAAAATTTGCTGTGAATTATGGGTCTATGGGGAGCCGCATCACATACCTGAGTCATCTTCTCCCTGTTGGCCTTGGGATTGAGGGGAGCCTCAGTAAGCAAGGTGGGGTGCTCCTCAGGGGCCACACGCAGCTCATTGTAGAAGGTGTGGTGCCAGATCTGCGTGGGCGCAAATGGGCAAGTTTGACAACAAGCTAAGCCCAATATGGAAAGCTAAACTCTCATCGTTCTCAACGATGTCCAATGTTTGTCATGTGTTTGAAATCTAGTTCTTACTGACCTTCTCCATATCGTCCCAGTTGGTGATGATGCCGTGTTCAATGGGGTACTTCAGGGTGAGGATGCCCCTCTTGCTTTGGGCCTCGTCTCCTACATAGCTGTCCTTTTGACCCATACCAACCATGACACCCTGTGAAAGAGACAGAAGAGATAAGGAGGAGTACATTTTATGTAGCAATCGGTAGCACACGTTGCGTGATTCGTTGCAGCTCCATGCCAGCCCTGGGAGCTCACCTGGTGGCGGGGCCTTCCCACGATGGAAGGGAAAACTGCACGTGGAGCATCGTCTCCGGCGAATCCAGCCTTGACCAAGCCAGAGCCGTTGTCGCACACGAGGGCGGTAGTCTCGTCTTCGTCACACATGATTGATCTTTTCTGGGATGGTCTGCGAGACAAAATCGAAGGTGTTTTAAAATACCAGTCGCTAAAGATGCTCTCTAGGAAACCTTTGGCAGAGCTAACCCCAGTAATTCAAATTCTAAACTGAATTGTTAAATGTAGCTTACTAGAACTGCAATATATCTATAGGCATATACAATGATGAAGTGTCTATTTAAGCTTACGCCTGAGGAACAATTTATGTATCTTTTATCAGTACACAGTTCAGTTTTAGTAAATGCTGTAATTAAATAGTTTATATATAATTTATATAACTGTTCTAGTAAAATCAGATAATTTTCTTCTTTAGTAAAATATTTCAGAATATGGTATAAATAATATTTCTAAAAGGCATTTAAGATATGCCAAAGGGTTTTTGAGAGGCTTAAAATCCATGGAGTTAGAGCCAAACAGGGGCATATGACAGCTCCAAACCAGCTGCCTATTTTAGACCGTGGACTCAGTGCTGCCAGACGTGGCCATACCGGCATTTTCTCTGAGCCACACACAGGGGCCTGGCTCCCACTGCAGCTGTCGGCACATTGCAGCACCTCTTTTTACAGGTTGCTTCCCCAATCCCCACTGACGGCTTTATCTGCTACACAGCGTGCCAAGTCGAGAGCCTCGCACGTGCCCGGCTGCCCGGAGCACAGCGCATGATGCATGCAATCCTACCCCAGAAAAACGTCTTGAGAATGCACTGTTGCAGGTCGCTTTCAACGCTGTTAGCATTCCTCCTACAAAATGCTAATCCATCCAGTACGGATAATGCAGACAAACTGAAAGTCCTGGTATTTATCCAGCAGATAATCCAAAGCGATGTACAATTGAGAAAGCAGGGTCAATCCTTGGAGCAGCTGGGGTTAATGGCCTTGCTCAAGAGCCCAAAAATGAAACCATTCTGCCGACCATAAGCTGCCAACCTTCCTATCAGGGCACAGATTGCTAACCAATTAAGCCACATACCACTCCAGAATCTTTATACTTATAACAGACAGGCAGCAGAACAAGTTCTACTAGGCAAAGTATGCTATAACAGACTAATATTTCCAGCTAAGTTAGTCTCTGCCCTACTTTAGTGAACTGTCTGTTCATAACCTGTAAGTCGTTCTGTACAAGAACAACAGCTGAATAAATGAAGGTTACATGTATAAAGTCTAGCTTCTCATCGCTGTCTCATCAAGTGGTCCTGTCTATGACAGCCATATCAGAGCTCAGAGGACTGCCGACGGATACCCAGCCTCCTGCAACACTGAAATGGTCCAATGAGAGAAACGTTAGAGAGCACTCACCAAGTTGTGTCGCAAGACTGATGCTTCCACTGGGACAAAGGCCAAGGGTTAGAGGGGCTCCTTAAATAAGCCCCGAGCCTAGGGTCTGGGGGCGGGCCCAGGAGTTCACACAAGCCCAAATAAGACCTGCGAGGGGAAAAAAAAAAAAAGCTTTGACCTCCTAAGTGTATCTGATCCTCTGTGATGAGATGTCATTGAAAGAGAGAGATGCTTCCTAGAAAAAAATGATTCCTGACAGGATTAGTGTCCAAAAAAGCACACTTTAATCAAGTGGTATTTAAGTTTAAGTTCTGTTTGTCTTGGTCACTGCCTAATAGTTTAAGTCAATGTATTGAAAATCACCTTTTTTCATCTGCAATGCACCCTAGTCAGATATCTACAGTTGTATTGCAATTTCCAGAATGTATCTATCTAAAAGTATTAATGTTATAATGTATGATGGAGATAATCTATTTTCCTTTGATTTGTCTCATTTATGGAAGGAGCACATTCTTGAACACAGTTCAGTAAAGACTGCAGTTATGATGGCTGCGTTGGGATAAGGTTATATTCTGTTGCTTTGAATTTCAGAGTTTTATTTGGCTTCATGTTATGTGTGGCAGTAAAAAAAATGTGGTAACTTGGGATACACATATAATTTATATATGACGGGCCTGTTAAATTAAGACCATTCATTTGTAAGAAATTGCATCCCATCATTGCTGATGGCATTGTAGTCATCGGGAAAAGAGCCATCCTGCGTCACACAGGACAGGCGCTTGCTAAAATCACCCTGAGTTCATTTTGTGCCTTCATCTGTATGCAGCCAGTGTTCAGTGTTTCATGTCTCTGCAACACGTTGTTAGATAATTGTGGAATAGAGAGCAACAAGCCTAGCTGTTCCCTGTGCCCCTGTAATGAATTAATTACATTAGTAAGGAATTAGTATGGGTGTACGCTGTGGAGGAGAACCACACTTGATATGACCGTGCTGTAGGCAGGGCTGTAAGGATCTAGTTAAGGAAACTTCTGAGGCAGTCTATCAGTGTGTGGAATACTGTATATGTCAATGGGCCAACTTGCTGGTATGTGAGATGGGGCCCTAGAAAGGCTGGACAGCTGCCAGTGACGCCAAAACAGCCTTACTTCCCGCTGTCTGCCGGGGGCAGCCCCTCCAGCCACTGCAGCTGGCCTCTGATTGGCTCAGGCCTCTCCTTTTAGGGTCATGGTGAGTAACAGGTGTCCTTCAGCACACAGATACAGCGTGTTGAATTTGCTGCCGTAGCTCCATGTTCACCATCCCCTCACCATACCCCACATTCTTTGATTGTACCCAAAGAGGAAATGCGCTCTTTTTCTTCTATATAGAGTCTGAGCCTGCGGGCAGGGCCACAAAGCCAGCTGGCTGCTGTCAGAAGCTCTCCATTTGTAGCTTTGGACTTGCATGCGCTTGTAAATATTTAAATCTAGGCAGCCTTATGCCACCTTAACTATTTTATGGCATCATCATTCATTGTATTTTGCCAAAAAGCTTGTTTGTTGTCATACTTAAAAGTATTCTTGTTAGAGACATTCTCAGATAAGTGGGATTGCCTTGGCATTTATGTTTTATAAATAGGATTATTGTATATGTTTTTACCAAACAAAATCTCAGTTTTTATTTGATTTTCATTTCAAAGTAAATTTATGTTATTGTATATGATGGAACTTGGTCAATTAAATTTTATCAAGTCGATTTGTGTGGTTACAATGACATTCATTACAACATTCCAAACAATGGTGTTAGTAATGAAATGATTGTGAATGGTGATACAATGTGCATTGTGAATTTGAGCAAAATAGCAGAGATATATCTGTGCCCTGCCATGTTATTTATGGCCCATTACCAGCATTTTATAGTGCATGGAATCCTGGAGGATGGCCTCAGGCACCTATCTATGCTGTGGTTATAAAAGGCGTCTAAATATAGAGATGTGATAGCATCCAGTGGGGCGGCCTGGAGGTGAAAAATGCTCTCGCATAATCCAACCTGACGGAAGACAGAGTCACCAAGTGACCCCTGCTATGTTTGCCCCTTCCTCTGAAGCAAAATGACCCATCACCAGTTAGAATTACATGGCACAGTTCATGAATCAGTTTAGCGAATGAAACGATAAGAATGCTTGTCTTTTGATTTTTTTTTGGTGTTTGATTTGTGTTTTATTACCCATTGATAGTAAGTATAAATGCTTAAAGGCTTCATTGGGAAAAGGTGGTAGTGAAGGTTTTACAGATTTTTGCTGAAAAACCCTTCACTTTAGTTTTTGCTGGCTCTTTGGACCATTGTAAGCTAATTGATAAAGTGTTAGAGCCGCATCAATCAATGACATGTCAAAGGTGAGGAGGGCCATTTGGTGATACGTGAAGATTGCCTAGTAAAGGTTTGGGGAGATTACTGAACAGGTGGGTGGCATTGGCTGAATATTATGATGGTGATGTTGTGCTGTTGGGGGATTTTTGTCCTTTTAGGGTCACGCTGGGTGCCACAGATAGTTGTCTGTCTGTGTGTGTCTGACTTCCACTCCTCCTATCTGCCTTCACACCATCCTGGTCATTGTTGCAGCTGTTGCTCGCAAATCCCTTACAGAATTTAGTGTGTTCTTTGTACCCATCCCAAACATGTCTCAGTTTCAAACTAAGCTCCATAAAAAAGATTCCATTTCCATATCCAAAAGTTCTCCTTACGTTAAACATTCCATCGGTCTGGAGCTCTAACAGAGTGAAGGGCTGTTTCAGTATTATTATTGTTACCTAGAACTGGGAAACCATGATCAGTATTGCTATAATTAGCTTGACAAGAGCTTGTTATCAGGCAAATGCCTGGGCCAGAAGAAGGGGAAGATTAGACATGTTTGAGATAAGGACTTATACAATAGAACTTCAGAACGTGAGGTGTGAATGTGGTTTGTTTTTATAACAAATTTTGTTAATTTATATACAAGTATTACAATGCACATATAGCGCTATCCCATCTAGGGCACCCCCAGTGTTGTTCGATCCCTGCAGTTCCTGGGCTAAGCTCACAGTCCACCACAACCAAGTACTGATATGCAGATATGGAAGGATAATGAGGATATCTAATCGACTTAATAAAGGCTATGGAGAAAATAGAAGCAAAATATTTAAACATACAAGTAGGTTACATGTATATTTTACATGCTCTATTTTTGGTACCTCATATAGTTCGGTGCTCGATTATGTTCGTAATCGTTATGATCGAAATTACTATTTGCAATTCATTATATAAAGTTTCAAAACTATGGCGTCTTCGCTTTGAGTTCGCGAGGATGCTACACTGATAGGAGGATGTGTGGAGCCGCAATGGCGCCTTATGTCACGTGATTCTGCAGTTGCATGCGGAACCGTGACGGTTGTTATATGCGACAAAATGACCAGATGCCACGCGCCAAACTTTACGTTTTCTGGATGATTCACGTTGCAGTTTAAGTTTTACTAGACGTTTTTGCCACCATAGCAAGAACGTTGACTTAAGATTATTTTCACAATGGCCCAGATAATAAGACAGTTATACTAGTGACAAGGAACCCTGATGTTTTTTTCGGGAGAGGGGCGTGTACTAATTATGCTTGCTGTGCAACAGAATGAGTTTTAAAAATCCCACGGATGGTGCCGAAAGCTATCTTGCTCAACAGGAAAATGAACTTGAAGCACTTGCATCGATCTTTGGAGACGACTTTGAAGATATACGGAAAAAACAGCCCTGGAAGGTATTATTCCCGGATATAACTTGTTATGGAGTTTTCCAGCTTTGCCACTGAGGTTTTATATTTTAAAGTATCCGTAGTCCTATAAAATACGGAGATATCACTTGTAAATGAGATTGCATATTCTTCTTTCGGGTGCTTTTCAGGTTAAACGCCCACCTGAGGTATACCTTTATTTGCGACCGAAGGGATTGAGCGACGGAAAGGAGAGCTATGTTTCGGTGGACCTGGAGGTGAAATGCCCACCCAATTACCCAGATGTGTAAGTGCTTTCATTTAAAACTCGTGTCTGCCCCCTCGCATTGCCATGATGTTTTTATAAATGTCAATGACGTGATTCTATATGACGAAAACAACCCTGGAGCCGTTGTCTTCCAGACGCCATTTATTTTTAAAGTCTGGTTTAGGCTATTTATTTTACCCTGACGTATTAATTTTATCCCTGACGTAAATGCTTGTGGTTTGTATTCAGATGAGCTTTTCCAGCTGTTGGTACAGTATAGAGATAAAGGGACAGCTGCAAAAGGTCAGCTGCAGGGTATAAACATTCTCATTCCATATGAAATCACCCACTTTGAGAAATGTTCCCAGGCCAGCCTCTCACATTCCCTTTGAAGAAATTCACAGGTACTCCTATATCAAACATATGGAGAAATCCCAAATATTAGATCTTTATCTCTAATAGTTTTGAAACTACAGCCCTTTGAAGTTTTAATAAACTTTATGCATTTTGCTGAAGGAGTCTTTTGGTCCAGCTTCCGACACTCATTGCTCCTTAGAGATGACATGTAATGCCTAGAAACTTTGTGACTAGGCCTAACTTTTCCTGTAGCATTCATGAGAAGCTCTGAAAGGTTGCATTTTGTTACATTTGGAATTTTCGGCCTTTTTCAGAGCCTTGTAGCAGGAAAAATATGCAAGATCTGATTTTGAATTGTACAGAAAACATTAGCCCTGGCTAGACAGTTTCAAAGCTGTACGTGCCATATCAAAGGAGGTATGAATGTTGGAAGTTGGATCGAAAGGCTCGCTAGGCAAAATGCACAAAATTAATTAAAATTTCAAAGGGCTGTAGTTTCAGAACTATTAATGGTACTGACCAGATTTCTCTTTAAGTTTAGTATAAGGGCACCTGTGAATTTCTTCAGGGGAATCTGAGAGGGTCACTTGGGGACCCTCTGGGTGATTTGATGTGGAATGACCCTGCTGCAGATGTGCAAGAGATATCAGCAAGCGTGAGCTTTTGTGTTTTTGCTTCTCTGCTTGAGCACATCTTCATTGTCCTCATCCTTTGAGCCGTTGATGTGAACCTTTGACCCACTTTGACAGTTCAGTGAGATG